TCAGTGCGCAGTGCGCGTGGATGAAAGGAGCTTGTATTGTGTCAGCGTCATCTGCGTTGACTGACTAGGGACTCTAGGGAGCATATGGAGAAATGAGTGAGACGTTGCCTAAATAGCAATGACAACGCCTTGATTGTTATTTTTTGCAATCAAGGCAAAAAATTACATTTTTCCCATTCAAAATTTGAGGACTTTTTAGACAGCTACCAAGAATTTAGAACATTTTGTGAGTTGGAGTTCTTGTGAGTTGGAGTTCAACTATCAGCGGAGAAAGAAAGTAATTTGTGTACGTAGCTAGAAAAATGGTTGGCTTGTCAAACTCCACTTAGTTTTGAATCAAAAAGTCATCATGAAGATATACGAATATCAAGATTTGCTTGCAAATTATAGCACAAAAGGAAAAGAGATTAGCTGGCATAACTTAATTGAAATATTTTCTCAAAAAGCACCGTTTAGCACGATCACACATTATGCCTATGTTGAATTATTGACAAAATTCTATCACAATTCACCGTGTTGCAAGTAAATCAATAGTTTAATATTGCTTCGGCACACTCAAAACGTCTACGTAACTCCACTTACGACACCTCCGAGCAGGCGTAGAGCTACGTACGGCTTCTTGTACGTAGCTTCCCGCGCAAATGTTTTGACGTAGTCAATATACTTGCGTATATTGTCGACTAAAATAGTAGAACTATTTTAGCTTTCTAAAGTACGACGCACGGCGCATTTTTTTACCAGCATAGTACGGCGCACCGCGCAGGTCGTTAAAATGACAAAATAAATTCCCGCACACCTGGCACATCTTCCTGACCATGGGTTGAATGTCAGTTACTGATAAATTTGTAATATAGAAGAATTAGTATCTATCATTTTTTTCAAATGAGTATATTGATGGTTGGTGTCCCTGCGGTCTGCTAAGTGCTACCTTCTTTGTTTATGTTTTTCGTTAAGTTGGTAATCCTGATCGTAACGGTAGGCCGTAGGAGTTTCCATGTCTCAGCTTATTGCATCAGTGGTCAGTTTTGTATTTGTTGATTGAATCATAGGCAGTTTTTCATATATTAGTGAGTGAGTGTGCATAGCAAACATGTCATTCTTTGCAATTTACATCAATAATGGCATAACTACACTATTTTATTATGCTCTTTAAATAAGAATTGAAGCATTACGCATCAAGTTAGCATCAGTGCGTTAACATTGTGTGCATTTGAGGCGGTCCCTTCTAGCTTTCTATCACTGATTGGATTCCACTTCCAGTGGCTGTGACGTTGCACACATTCTAGCGATGATTGGATCCCTGTGACACAGTGACAGTATGTTGGACGTGTTCAAGCGTTGATTAGATTCTTGTTACTGTGATGATGCAAGCACTGTTTTTTCCAATGAAACAGCTGTGGCATCTTGCAGAGACTCATCAGTGATGATGATGGACTGAAAGTGGAAGTGCGCTGGACGTTCCAGATTTTTGGGTCCTGCTTTCTGATTTGCTATGAATGTTTACCAGTTAAGATATTACCCCTCTGGAATTCCACACCTGGAATTCTGGAATTTAGAATTTCACCTTCATTCATGAGTAATAATTTATTACTCACGAATGAAGGTGAAATTCTAAAAATGTCCACAAGCTTAACATTACCGTAAGGTCCTAGTGAACCACTATGCAGAGCATAGTGACAAACCAGAGATTTTTTAGAATCAATTCATTTTTAATTTCCTTATTTACTCAAGATTTAAACCAATTTCTTATGTATTATAATGCTGGTATCCACAATATTTTGCTTGTCTACTTATAGGACTCAAAAATGAACTTGAGGGAGAGTCTAAAAAACTCTCTGCTTTGCCACTATGATGCAGAGGGTGGATGCAGCGTCGGCAATATATGGATTTTTAAGCCCAAAGCGTCGCCGGGTACGCACGGTAGTTTTAATGCACACGGGCATTCTCATGCGCACGGTAGTTAAGTGCACACGGGCATTCTCATGCGCACGGTAGTTTTCAATAAAAGATGCGCTAGAATGACTTCCGCAATGCCAACGTGAAGCAGATTCAATCTGAAATTCATAACATTTTACCTATTCAAAATTTATCACTAAATAGACGACGAATTAAAATTTAAAAATTCACCACCTAAAAAACATTGACGGAAACACACAAGCAACTGGCTCAATCTCATTAAAAATATCAGATTATTTAATCGTCTTAATCTGGGATGAAAAAAATTGAAGAAGAAGAATTTTTACCTGACCAATTCATTTAAAAGAACACAGACAAATGACCAGATACTCAGACAAATAGCAGGATACGCAGGAAAATACCCTGAAATACGCATGTCCCCACATGAAAATTGAGAGAACATTCCAAGTCACCCTCGTAGAGCACCACCAACGTCTTGCCCTCAGCACCGGGAGCCTTTCCCCATAGCTTGTTATCTGCGTACATAGATAGCATAGAATTATGATATTATAATTCGTTATAACAGTGATCAATTAAACTCATAACATCAAAGAAGATTATTTAGTAATACACACAATAAACCAGGAAAATATGAAATCGAATCATTTTGGTGATGTTGGATGTAAAAGAATCACGATATTTATAGTCTTGCAAAAGTTTAAATAATTTTAGCAACTGGTGACTTAAGAACAAATGAGGTGAAAATAACACAGTCGTTACGTACCTGCGATGCCGAGACACGAGGCGGCCACGCTCCCTTCGCCGGAGACCAGCATTCTTGCCAGCATATCTTAATGAGTGATACGAGCTCCCTTAGTGATACGTTTCGATCCCACAAACGATACGTTTTGCTCCCTCAAACGATGCGTTTCGCACCCTCAAACGATACGTTTTGCTCCCTCAAACGATCGTTTCGCTCCCTCAAGCGATACGTTTCGCTCCCTCAAACGATGCGTTTCGCTCCCTCAAACGATGCGTTTCGCACCCTCAAACGATGCGTTTCGCTCCCTCAAACGATACGCTTCGCTCCCTCAAACGATACGTTTTGCTCCCTCAAACGATGCGTTTCGCACCGTCAAACGATACGTTTTGCTCCCTCAAACGATACGTTTTGCTCCCTCAAACGATACGTTTTACTCCCTCAAACGATGCGTTTCGCACCCTCAAACGATACCTTCTGCTCCACAAACGATAACTTCTGCTCCACAAACGATAACTTCTGCTCCACAAACGATAACTTCTGCTCCCTCAAACGATACGTTTACGCGACAACAGCCAAATAAGCTTTTCAACATCTAGGCTATAGTGGCCATTATTTCAGGCTTCAGCCAGAAATAGTATTTGAGAACGTTGTTTGAACGAAGATCTGGCAAAATAATTCAACAAAAACAAAATATAAGCCAGCAAAAAATACAAAATAACAAATAAATAATTAAAAAAATAAGTTCAAGAAAAATCCTGCACATGATTACGAATATAGGTACTGCAGAGCTTTGTGCTTCAATCCAGCTTAGAGCCAGCGCCTGCACACAACTGAACCGCCTCTACAACCTCTCTTCTGAAGTATGTGGCGATGTTCTCATCTAGTGTTGTATTTTAAACCGTAAGCTCCCTCAAACGATACCTTCTGCTCCACAAACGATACCTTCTGCTCCCTCAAACGATACCTTCTGCTCCACAACCGATAACTTCAGCTCCACAACGATACCTTCTGCTTCACAAACGATACCTTCTGCTCCCTCAAACGGTACGTTTACGCGACAACAGCCAGATAAGCTTTTCAACATCTAGGCTATAGTGGCCATTATTTCAGGCTTCAGACAAAAATAGTATTTGAGAACGTTGTTTGAACGCAGATCCGGCAAAATAATTCAACAAACACAAAATATAATAGTTCAACAAAAATCCTGCACATGATTATAAATATAATGCAACTCTCTGTGCCTGATTCGAGCATAGAGCCAGCGCCTGCACACAACTGAACCGCCTCTACAACCTCTCTTCTGAAGTATGTGGCGATGTTCTCATCTAGTGTTGTATTTTAAACCGTAACACTAGTGTTCAAATGCTGACAAAATATTCACATTCAAGCCAAAAGCAAGCAAGTAATGCGGTAACTTAGCGTTATCTCATTTACATCGGCAATTACTTTGCGCCGCGAAAGATTTAATGAAAATTTCAGCACAATTATGCAGCCTCATTAGTAGCTTCCGATAAAGCAGCTAAGCCTATTGACGGCAAAGCGACATATCTTTCCTCTTTATTTTACCCACGGTAATCGATTGCACGCTTTATCTGAATCACCGAAGAATTTTGTAGCGCTCATATCCGCTAGCGTGGTTCGTCAGAACGGGATCCCAGTGATAAGCTTCAGTACAACTAACCATTAATTAAGGAATTAACCGAATTAGTTAGGTGCAGGAACCGAATTAATGAAGTGTAGCAGAAAATGGTCCCAATAAAATAATAAATGATAAGTCCTTTTAAGGACAACTAAAAAGTTATTCCTAAATACAGTGACATATAACGAAAATTAGCATTTACCGATATTATATCGATCGGCTAAATAAATGGATTATTCTATGGAAAGACAAATCAAGAGTCGGGTAAAATTTTCAATCAGGTACACATATTTACATTTATACAATTAATGAAGAAGTTAATTGTAACGATCTTAGCGCAGCAATCGATGAACTGCGCACATGGAAAATATGAACGAAGTTGACAGCTCATCATAAATAGTAATTCACATAAAGAATTAAAGAAGAAACATTTGCAGCAAAGTGATCATGAAATGAGATAAAAATATTGTTTAGTTGCGGCAACAACGCAACCAGAAAATAAGTAAGGTTGACTTAGAACATTACACAGCTTATATTGAGAGAGAAATTTTAGTTCTGCCACAGCAAGAAAAAAGGCTACGAGTGACGACCGAGGATGAATCGCAAAGAAATAAGTCGGTCTTCAGTCTAGACCCAAACCTCTCTAGCTTTACGCATACGGTTTAAGCAAGAGTCAGATAACAATGGTAAAAAAACACGACAACAATATAATAACAATTCTATTTCTGATCTTCGTCGCAGACTTTGGTGCCTGTGAGCAAGAAGCCTCCTCCTCCAGACATATTAACAAGAGGGTGCGTGCGTTCAGGAAGAACTTGCAGCTCCCGCAGCCACGTCTCGCTGAGATGCATGCATCTGCCGCCATGGTTCTTCAGCTCCATGTACAGCTCCATCAGCGGCTGAAATACAGCCGCAATGTGGAATAAATATCATTTGTGCGCACAAAGTTTCTTATGCACACGGGGAATCACATTCAGTCAAGATTATAATAAGCAATTTATCAAAAGTATTAGCAATACGTAATACATACCTAAGCATTAGCTATTAGGTCCAAATTATAATTAGCAAAATCTAAATATTAAAAATTTCACCTCTTTCTCACTACAGAAATTAAAGAATCAATTACTATAAAAACAGATAAGGGACTGCGGGCAATAGTGGGGAATGCAAGCAATCGTAGGGACTGCGGGCAATCGTAGGGACTGCGGGCAATCGTGAGGACTGCGGCTAATAGTGGGGACTGCGGGTAATCGTTGGGAATGCAAGCAATCGTAGGGACTGCGGGCAATAGTGGGGAATGCAAGCAATCGTAGGGACTGCGGGCAATAGTGGGGATTGCGGGCAATCGCGGGGACTGCGGGTAATCGTGGGGACTGCGGCTAATAGTGGAGACTGCGGGCAATATTTGGGAATGCAAGCAATCGTAGGGACTGCGGGCAATAGTGGGGAATGCAAGCAATCGTAGGGACTGCGGGCAATCGTGAGGACTGCGGCTAATAGTGGAGACTGCGGCCAATATTTGGGAATGCAAGCAATCGTACGGACTGCGAGCAATATTTGAGAATGCAAGCAATCGTGGGGACTGCGGGCAATCGCAGGGACTGCGGGCAATTGTGGAAAATGCAAGCAATCGTGGGGACTGCGGGCAATCGCTGTTTCATGGGAGAATACGAGCAATGAGGTGTACTGCGAGAAATTGTGGATACTACGAGCAATCGTGGTCATGTGGATACTTCAGCTCCATACCTACTCTGATCTCAAGCACGATACACAATCTGATATCTCTGCAGATGAGATTTTTGCCTAAGCTTTAGCTAAGCTATATTACGCTGAGCTACTTTTGCCTAAGCTATAGATGTGAGAAAAAACTGACGACAGATTGCTCAAATATTCATGCCAATAATTATATATTCATCAATATTTGTATTTCATGTTTCATAGACATTCATTCTATTAGTGCAGAGGACTTGCATGGAAAAGTTAGCAGCTTACAGCTTTCCTCCTTGCACATGGTTTGTCTGCTTTCTCATCCTGATCGTGTTTGCGCTTGCCGTGTGGTTGTTCCTGAGTGCCGTTGTCGGTAACGTCCATGGGAGCGTCAGGACGCAGCAAACGAGGGTCTATCACCAGGGGCTCCAGGGTCGTATCAAGAGTCTTCTCTGCACGTTAACAAGGAAAATATTCAAAGACATTTCTGCTTATCCTTGTTTTCTTATCCTTGTTTCTTCTGTTATACTTGCCTTTACAATGATTTCATTTTGATTACCTACTACAAGTACAAGTGTAAATCATTTGCAGAACAGTCAATTGCCACAATAATGACCAAAAAAGATCAAGGAACTCGTACTACTGCATCAGAGGAGTAGTACAGACTGTTTGTTTTTACTGACCTGGTTTTTTCACTTTGTGCAGCCTGTTTATGTGAAGGAAAGACAGTGCTGAGAACGTGTCATCATCAAAATTCATCGCAGTTACCGCCGACCTGGAAAATGAAGTATATATTTGATGTTACTTGGTAACATCAACAAGCGTCTAGAATGTAACAATCATAGGCCTTGCTTCAGCGCCACCTTATATATTTGACAGCAATGGAATACAGATGGCAGGAGTACTCCCGGGTGCTGGATGAGTGGTAACATTGTTTATCTCAATCAAATAACTCCACACATTTTTTAGCCAATTCAGATGTAATTTAATAAAAAGACACTAACTTTTCCAGGAAACTGGGAATTAGATTTGGAAAAAATAAATTTACAATGTTTACAGCGAAGGCTTATTAGCAATCACACAACAGTGTCTATGGCATTGATAATGTTAAGGTGACATCAATAACTGATACAAATGTATAGAAAATTTGTGTTACGGGAAAACTATAGATAATTTTAAATTATGAACGCAGAGGTAAGAGCAGCGTGCAACGCACGTGAAGTAAGTATATTTGAGGGCTTTTTCTCCAGCGTAGACGTGAACGAGACGACCAGCAGCACCAAGCCTGTGCAGCAGAGCAGCAGTCACCAGGCCCTGTGTGCCTGAGTCATAGACCGCAACTCTACTGCCTGGATACACGTTGCTGTAGCTCAGTAGCTGGTATAGGCTGTCCGGCCGTAAGTATCTGTACAAATCACACACAACTCGTGAAGTTCAGCATATAGAATTGACAGATCAGTAACATACTGTGTTTTAAATAAACGTTCAGTATAATTGCAGTTTTAGACATCAAACTTATGGATTATGATGTTAATAATACTGATACTTGACCTCATATTAATCCTCTACTGCCTGACACGAGTAACCAGAACAATATTGTCACATATAATTCAAGTTGAAAGTTCTGTTCCCAGACAGTGACAAAAGCGGTAGAAGGTTAATTAAAAGTATCAAAATTCCCCAATATTATTCATAATTAATACTATTTAGATAATCACAAACAAACTATGCACACCAAGAGCGTGCATTGCTGCAATGACTCACGATACTGTCCTGGGTCCTTGAAAAAACATAGCCTCTGCAATTAGGTCAATGGTAGGCTTGTGAATTACAATGAGCTCAGCATGTTTCTTCCCTTTCTTGTCCACATATTTCTGTTGTGAATATTTGGTCTTTGAACTGAATGTAGTGCTGTTGGCAGTGATGGCTTGAATCACCTGAAATGAAGAAAAAAATTATAGGAATTTTCAGCCAAAATAAAATCAGAAAAAAACCTGTCACCAAAGATTCATGTACAGCTATTTTTGTAAGTATGGGAAACTTTCATTTACATCAACATACATAGTTTAAAAGTACTGATGTTAAGCAAATTATTTTTTGTGTCAAAATTCAACTGTAAGTGATGATTTAATTATAAAAGCTTAATATCATTATATCTATTCATTAGATTAGTATGATCTGGAGTAAGTTCCATATGGAGATTATTTGAACCATCTAATCATAAACTGGATGATAATATTTATTAATCTAAATCAGAGAAAATATAATTGAGCATAATCAGTTCACATCTACACTTACTTCTTCACCGCTAGCACCAGATTTTTTCAGTGCCATAATTTCTTCCATTGTAAGTTTTTGGGAAGAGCCATCACCCAAGAGATTTCTGTTATCAAATGCAGAGGCTTCATTTGCAGTCTCTGATCATGAGAAATGGGACAGTAAATTTCTTTGCAATTCAAAATTATGCTTGAAATTTCTCACATATCACAATAATTTTTCATCTGTTTCTAGGAGTATATATATATATATATAAATATGCTTAACAGATTGGTAAAGTCCTGTTAAAAAAAATTTGTGTTTCTTATGCATCATTGCTAGGTAGTACTCTTAACTCAAATCAAAGTAATATTTTGATAATGAATGCAGTTTTAGCTCTTCCACAAGAGTACATCCAAAACAAGAAAAAAAAAACAATATCAAAGGTATGGCCCATAATTAGAACTAAAGAATTTCAAGTAATACAACAACCTGCCTCTCTTTAGGTCATAATTAGATATCTCTTCCCAGGTCAAGCATTGAAGATAGTAGATTCTCTTCTTGTCATTGCTGCACACCATCTGAAAAGTTGAACCATATGGCTGCCCAATGGCACTTGACAGGTGAATGGAGACGCTCTCTCGTCGTTTGCCAAGCATATAAGGCCTGGGGATTTAAAATGCACTTTAAATGTAAAGCAAACTACTCACCTGCAAGGTTCTAGGGCTATTGCTGTATACATAATACATTATTTTTAATAAGATAATAAATGTTAGAATGTTTATATTTATTTCAAATTGACAATCTATTTTTTCTGGAAAATGAGTAAAAGCTATCATTTGAGAAAATGAACAAACATAATTGTTACAAGACTTACTTCTGAGTAATTTTTGTCAATTTGAGGTAGGTTCCTTTTTGAAAAACCACCCAGCAGCCATCAGAAATTGTTGAAATTGAACATGGATCTTCCATTAGGTCAGGTTTTGTTATTAGTTTCTTGTTATCACTTTTCTGCTCAAAAAAATATCACTGATAAAAATTGTTACCTGTTCTTTTTTTTTAATCTGAGCCTCTGTCATCAATACTTTAATTATAAAACAATACGTAATTCTAGAGTGTTTGGACAAAGAAAGAATCTTAAATTCTAATTTTTAAAGTCAACAGCAATTTACTATAGCCATTAAAGTTGAATGAATTTATGCCTGCAGTTTTTGGAAATTGCCCATAAAATAATAGCTTTTATCTGTGATTTCTTCCTAATATTCCACATTGTATATATTCTGCACTTGACTTCTGCTCCTAAATGAAAACCATGATATAGCACATTATATAGGATTGGAATTTTCCTAGGTACTTGTTTCTAAAATCTCGCAGCTCCAGCTCCTAACTGTCTTAAGTGTAAGTGACAAATTTTCAATATCTCCTTATTCTCCTATCAATAAATAAAGGTGAGTTAAGGTCACTATTTGTAACCTAAAATTCTTATATTCATAATTATATTCAAGGGGATCAGTGCAGAGTCCATAGTGATTTTTTATAATCAGTTCATTTTTAATTTCCTTATTTACTCAATATTTAAACAAATTTCTTATGTATGATAATGCTGGACTAATTGGTGGTTCTGGTTCACCATCAGTCCACCACTGCAGACCAAGGGACTGTAAGTGTAAAGCCCGGTCTACACGCTCAGTTTTACACAACGATTTGTCTGCGCAGTTCTAATCGCTGCAGATAAAACGTTGCGTGTGGACGGGAAAACTGCGCAGTTTTGGAGCCAGCGGGAAAACTGCGCAGTTCCATCGAAATCTGAGCTCCAGAGCATAGATTTTGATGAACTGCGCAGACAAGTCGGAACGTGTGGACGGTAGCACAGTTTTCCGATTTGATTTGTGCTCAGTTCCAATGATTCTGGCGACAATGGCGGAATTTAGGTAATGTTCTCGGGAATTTATTGCTCTTCTATATGAAAGTTTTTCTTGCATTTGGTGAGTAAAATTCAATGGCTATAGTAACAGGCACAAAAAAGATGGAGACATGCAAAAGCTTAGTAGAAAAATTAAAAAATAAATCGATGAAAGCGCAAACAGAGAAACAGCTGTAAAACAAGTTGAGGAGCATTTACCTTAAATAATTGGGAATATCTAAATCAAAAAATCGATTCCATCTGGACCTGGAGAAAATGACATCTACAAGCCATCTCTCTTGTATTTTGATTCCTTGCATTCCCTAAATGATCCCAGATCCAATCTTTTTTAACAAGGCACAATGCCAAAATTTATCAAAATACTGCCTTCTCTGTGGCTCGTTTCGGACAAATTTATGGCTGGACTTGCAGCCAGTCTCCTCAAATTCGATGGGCATGGAATATCTCCCAAAGTAATGAATGTAGCTTGATAAAACTTGGTAGACGTATTCATTAGGATTTAGGACTTATCGGTAATGTTTAGCACGTGACAATTTTTTTCGATTTTGCCTTGGTTTGCGAGTTATACAGCTCTATCTAATCTAAAAAATTGTCACGAGCTAGACATCACCATTGGGAGATTAGGTATATATATTCAAAGTTTTGTTCAAATCTATACAGTAGTTATGAAGAAATGTCATGCTCACTGCAAATTTCAGCGCGTATCAATATCATCATATAACTCACGCAGGCTGGAATTCTAAAATTCGTGGTTCACATAAAAAGTGTTCCACCTTTAAAAAACGTTCCAGGCAACTAGAAACAGGTTTGCAGGCCGTCAGAAATTGGCTTCGGTTACGGTAGCTATGATCGTATGAACATCAAGTCAGGCAACACAGAGAAGGTCCCATGCAAGATTGTTAATTGCGCGCGTCACTCACAGATGAGCAAGAGCGATAGATCTACAGAAGGAAATACTATTTACTCCCAACATAATAGTTGACTGACTAGAATAGACTCAATAGTCAATAGAGTACTCGAAAGTCAAAAATTTAGCATTCAAACCTTTAGATTCTGTGAACCTTGTAATTTCTTCATTATTAAAACTTTAGAAGGCTCACAATATATCGCGTAAAATTTTCACTCAATTGTCGTCTCCAAGTTCGGGAGCTTTATCTGCAGTTAATTCAGTTACCTCACACACCGATTGCTTCGTGAGAACTAACAAGTAAACAGTAAACACTAACCATCATTCCCGCCACTTTGGCTATTGCACACGATTGATTCTGCATGTATAACATTTACGATTTTAAACCATTCTGTTGAATGCCACACTCAGGATGATGTATGTTTTCGGTGAATTTTCCCGCGCATTTTCACTTTTTTTAAGCTATTGCTGTGCACAGTTGGCGCAATGTAATGATAATTGATTATCTTCACGCACGTGTTCGCGCAATCCCGGCCATAAATTCTACGTCGCGCTGCCGCGCACGCGCAGTTTGTGGAGGAACAGACGTAATACTCACATTACTCAGTACAGTATGCCTTTAATTATCTTTCAATAATATATGATTTTTCTTGATACGGAAATTTGGTGAATGAGAAATCTAGAACTTTAGATCCAAGGCGTTCGATTCAGGGCTTATTGGTGCACGGCTGCGCTCCCGCCTGAATCATTAGCAAACAAATCTTGAACAAACTATCATGTCTCCTAAATATTTAAAATCTCAGGCGCAAGAATCATTCTTGATGACCAGTAAAAGAAAGCGTCGATGTATTCTTAGTGCTAAACATTTTGACAAATACAAATTCATTTCCGAAACAAACTCAATTTATTACTTATCAGTGGCACATATATCACAAACAATACTGCTACACGAAGAAAATTCATATTATACTTTTGTATCGAGCGAGCCGTTCATTGTTAACGCTCTTTCGGGCAGATAACAAAGTTTTGAAAAAGGCGGTAAACGAGAGGTTCTTACCTTTACTTTTAACTTGTAAACTGAAACATCAAAGATAAACTTGGTATACAATAGTACAATATTCTACATATAATAATGCCAAATTTCACTTGTAAATTGTTTAGGGGACATATCAACAGAGAATAGCAGATATTTCAGCCTTCAATATCTAATCTTCAGCCTCTCTGATCTGATCTTCAGCCTTAACCCTCTGCCGCCGTACGCCACTCTCCGGGAACATAACTTTCTATTTAAATTATGTGTAAACTGTTTAGTGTAGCAACGTGGGTACATTTGTACGCAATAGAGAACATTTTAAAGTTGTCGTACGTGGCGGCGACCATCCAGTGCAAGTCATTTTGCGCTCACTAGCAACGTATCCTTTTTGGGAAGGAGGCTAGTGACAATATTGCTCTGGTTACTCATGTCAGGCGGTAGAGGGTTAAAGATCTTCAGCCCGACGCTCATATTGAAGCGTTGCTGAAATATTTCAACATGTCGAGCTCGTCCTTAGTCTGCAAGTAAAAAGCATTCCCGCTGGCTTACATTGAAGCGTCGCTAGAAACCTGCAATTTGGTAACTCAAATACTGGTGAGTAGGTCTTACCGTCTTGCCCCAATATGGTCTCTTCGACGACGGTTTTAGTGCAACCATAGCCAAATGACGGAAAGTTGCAGTCGACACAGATCGAGACGTAAATACTGGGGAGGCGACTGGCAAGAGTGCGTTGAAGGAGCAGCTGAGAAAGTGGCCGGGGTGTGGCCCTAAACTGCATGGCCACCCTGTCTGTCGAGGCGATGGATCTCCAGTCGGCTCAGGTCCAGACTATCAAGTTTCCAGCGGCAACAGTTTCACGCCCAACCCTCGTCTCTATCGCTAAACTCTGAGGCTGCGCACAGTGCGCAGGCATCGCTGACAGAGGCTCATAATGTCAATGTGCATGTGCAATCGTGATCCGATGGAGAGTCCCGCTGTCGCTAGTGTAGCGTAAAAGTAGGATATGCGTTCTTCAGAATGCCAAGCTCTCTCGTTCTCTATCTGAAGTCACTCCAAATACATGCGCCTTCGTTCTGTTTGAGCAATTTCTTCATGCAAGGCTCTTTCTGCATTTTTCCTGTCTTTTCTTAAATTTCAGCCATTTTTCCTTCGTAGCCTCGTAAGGTTTATTAGCTCGCGCACCAGTTCAACTTGTTCTCTAGAAGGACCAAACGAGGGTTCAGATCCGAATGAAACGTCCAAAGATGCCTTACAACTTTACAAGCTTCTAACTTCATCGTACGAGCCCTAATTAATAGCATTACATACTCTTTAATGGCAGACTTGACTTCCTTGAACAGGGTTTTCCAATGGCTCGATACTTCAACCTGCCCCTCTTCATCCAGAAAAATACGAGATACTTAACATGGCCTCGACTGAAATCCACTCTTTGCTTTAACAAAGTTTTACTTTATGATCAAATTAATTCTGGTTGACTGCTGGATCATGTCCCGTGACGAAGGCTGACTGGCTGAGATTGCGACAACAAACAAATCGGTTGAAATGATGAAATCCTCTGATAAATCGCAACCGTGCGCTCTAGTTCTTTTCATGGCGGTGACAGTAACTTGGGTGTATGGACGCCGCCACAACTTTTACATAAACAATACTTTTACACAAAAAGTTACATACAATACTCTAACATAAAAAGTAACATACAATATTTTCACATAAAAAGCAACAAATAATATTTTTACATAATACAATTGCATGCAATAATTGTACACACTAATTACTTTTCCATACAAAATATCTCCTTACACGAGTAATAAACATGAGGAAACGAGTCGTGGGTCCCAGTATCCTGAACGTCGTGACGTCACGGCAGATGTTGCGCGCGGACGCTGGCGTGTGGGCAACCGTGACCACGAGCGTCGCGTGGGCGCGCATGCGTACAGCGCGCGCTGCAGCGTACGCCGCGGATGTGTTCCCGCCATCCGGTAAGCGGAACGTGGCGGTGCTGATGTAATCTCCTAAACGCTGGAATTTAGATAAAAATATATGGGTCATATTATCTAAAAATTGTAATTATTGTGAATATAGCCTCAAGCTTTTGCTCCACACACCTATCAATAATTACAATATCAAATATTCAACTATATTTATGTGATTTTCACAGTCGGGCACAGAGCACAGTAACTTACGTCCGTCTCGGTCCGAAGTTTAAACCGGAATCTCCTTGTGTAACTTCTCTCGCGAGGCACCACGCGGGTTTGTTTATATATGACGTCATAGGTCCTGGATCCCGGCCGGGGGAATTTTCCTAAAAGTCAGATGGTAGATCTAGTACAGGAAAGAGTAATGTAGTTACTTCACCGTTGAAGGTTATGTCAAGTTATACGAGCAACATTAAAAATTCAACCACTTTTCGATTTCTCTCATCATGCCATTCAAATAAATCCTCAAATAGGTAACATGAACTCGACGAGTTCAACGATTCACAATAAAGAAAAAATAGGGATGTGAATGAAACGTCTTTTATGTATTAATTAATATAGAATATAATATCATGGAGCCATTATGACACTCATGTAAATCGCAACCAAAAATATTTCAGGAGCCGATGACCGCTTTAATCCAGGGCAAGAAAGCGCCGACCCTCAAGTCGATGCTTGGATTATTCTCAGTGCCACAGCCAATGCCAGCGTTGACAACGCCGACCACCAAGTAGCGCTGTTGTGACTCGTCCCAGTAATGAAGCGGTCCGCCACTGTCCCCCTTGAAAACGATAAAAAAATTACATCAATGTAACCTAAATTCCACATGAATTCTCTTATCAATGATGCAAAATGAATAGGGATACGATATAATTAGAAAAAGTACATTATTGATATAACCACAAACGCATTTCTATTTACTTCACGGCTCTCACGATGGATTATTAAAGATTTTATTTATTTGAACAAGTAACTAGTAATATTCAAGGAGTGATATGCAAATTTTAAATCTAATAACGGAAGACACGAACTTTGCAGGTGCTCCTGTTGGCTTGTCCGCCCTCACAGAAGACTCTGTCATCAACCACGTAGAGCGGAGGTCTCCCATAGTACGCGTCTTGACAAAACTTGTTGTCCAGAACTGGAAGGTCAATGCGGTACGGGTATCTGGCAGGTATCTCCAGACCTGATGCAACAATTGCATTACTGAAATAATTTCAAATAAATTGAGAAAGTAATCAGTTCACGAATATATCAGCTTTAGCATCAGATCAGTCCAGCTTTAAGATTGGATTCAAATATTAAAAATACAGTCCTCAAATCAGTCTTTTTCTGTCACGTCAACTCATATCTTGACTGAGATTTAATAACGTTTTATTAAAAAATTGAAGTTTAATAACGTCCATTGCCGGTTACGACGATTATGCGTAATGCCCGCTCAACCCTGAGCATCTACCCTGACAACTATCATTCTGCCGGGCCTCTACCCTGACAAGCTATCATTATGCCGGGCTTCTACCCTGACAAGCTAACACCCTGCAGGGCTGCACTGAGGAGCAATTTTAACGGACCAACAATATCTGGACAAACTATACGAGACTGAAGCTGTACTAGGACGGGTGAAAACCAAGACAGAACTCTACCTCTACGTAACTATGCTCGGAATCGAACTATAGTGCAATAAAACTATTCCAGGACGGAAGAATACACGGAAGGATCCTTGCTGTGCAGAGCTGCCCTCACACAGCTAAGTTGGCCAGCAAGGAACCCACAACAACACTCACTGCCGTTTTCCTGGATGTTGCCGTAGCCCACGGCGGTGACCGTGTCACCAGGGGCCGGTAAGCTGGGGTTCGACAACGGTAAGCACGCAGGCTGGATGTAATCTGTACATCGTGAAATAATCAGTACGAATAAAAATATTAAATTAGAGCATATAGAAATAACATCTACCAACAAATATCAACATTGTACATTAGCACTATGCATGAACAATGATTAGGAAGGATTTTATGGTTCACAATATTGGCCTCATTGTCTGGTCACCATTGAAAGTGACATCTCTGTCTAGTGTAAGGATCACTCATTGTCTGGGCACCATTGAAAGTGACATCTCTGTCTAGTGTTAGGATCATGACGTCATTGATGGTGGTGTAGTAGTAGAAGAGAGGAGCGTGGCGGCTGACGATGATGTAGTCCTGGTGAACCGATGTGGCATCATCAGCAAAAAGATCGCCCTCAGCCAGCCTGACAATGCCACTGCAAAACGACACCTTATATTCTAAGACGTGCGAGTAATGAACCAAATTTGTTATTAACCTACGTTAAAGTTGATATCAAACATCATACTGCAAGTTTCAGCCGCAATGATTCAAGAAATGGTAACTAGAAAGAAGAAACAAAACGAAGACGTTTTAGGTTGGGTTCCAGGAGCTCTTCATAAAAGATGCCTGTGTTGGCCAGTGAATGGAATTGTAAAAGCCATTCCAGCTGGAGTTGCCGTGAACTTAGAAAACTGCTCCAGTACACCTTTAAGATCAGAAAGGGCTCCATTATCAAGTAATGCCCGATGGTTAAACTATAAGCATTTTTCGATCGAGAAACGTTTACAGATCTAATACATTTTTGATTGAGTTACGTTTACAGATCAAGAAGCATTTACTTTTAAAATAGCAACTTCCGATCCAAAAGCATGTCAGATCAAATACCGTTTTTAATAAAAATACTAAAATACTTAATAACAATAATTTATATATTTACTACTGGGTGAATTACTCCCAGAAAATTGACTTTCAGTGTCAATTGGGCTGAATTACTGTACTGAGTATAGAATAGTCAGTGATGGGCTGAATAACTCCCATCACTAACTAGACTCCATTCCGGCATGGCTAGGTGGTGACTTCAGACTCACGGCAGGCTGGTCTCGAAATTCCTGAAGCAGTGAGCGGCCGTGAGCACGTGGCGCCGAGTGATGAGCGTGCCTGAGCATATGGAGGAGAACACGTCCGGTGATGTGGTGCTCACGCTCCCTATGGAGGCCAGCCAAGGGAACTCCCCCTCCTGAAAAAGAAGACACAGTTTATTTTAAGCTTAAACATTGTAGACCCACGCAAACTTTAGAATGCAGGTTATGTCTGAGTATCAACAACACAAGGATAATAGAAAACATTGCAACGCGCCGTGTCTTGACTTGAGTGATTTATTTGTTGCTATAACTTGATGACAAAACAGCAACATATCCAGCCTCTGATAACACCACATCACCACACGCAGCCTCTGACAACACCACAGCACCACAAGCAGCCTCTGACAATATCACAGCACCACAGCCTCTGATAACACCATAGCACCACACGCAGCCACTGACAACACCACAGCACCACACGCAGCCTCTGATAACACCACAGCACCACACGCAGCCACTGACAACACCATAGCACCACACGCAGCCACTGACAACACCATAGCATCACACGCAGCCACTGACAACACCACAGCACCACACGCAGCCACTGACTACACCATAGCACCACACGCAGCCACTGACAACACCACAGCACCACACGCAGCCTCTGATAACACCACAGCACTACAAGCAGCCTCCGACAACACCACAGCACCACACGCAGCCACTGACAACACCACAGCACCACACGCAGCCTCTGACAACACCACAGCACCACACGCAGCCTCTGATAACACCACAGCACCACACGCAGCCACAACACCACATGCGGTTCACAGCTATGGCGAATCAGTTCAGAAATTTTTCAATTTTTTAACAACGATCAACCACAACATTGACTATGTTTCCAAGCGTAATTTTTTTAAAGTAATAATGAAACGTGAGCCGTCCAAACTGTAATGAAAAAATTTGTGTGTAATGATAATATATATATATACAATTAATTCAACAGAATTTTACGACCACATAAATTAGATAAATTTCAGGTTAATACCAGCGGAATTGAATCAAGGTGATGATGTTGATTTAATAAACTAAGTTTAAACTGATGTGTGACTTGCTTATGCATCATCCTAATATAAGAGTCTAAAAACTGTGATATATCATGTCTTAGCATAAAATAATAGCATCTGAACAATGGGAAAAATCATCCCTGAAATTTGAAAATCATTTTATGATTCAATCCCGAAACCAGTTTCTAATTTTATCACTAAAATAATTTTGATGAGACTCGTTAAGCACACTTGTATCATGTAATTGCCATAAAACTTACGTTTCGAAGTTTCTAGGAAACTTAATTTTTGCTTTTTCTACGCAAATTAAAAATTCAAAATTGAAAAAAAAACAGTTGAATTTCTATTCGAACCCACAATCCACTATTTTGTAACACTGCAAAATCCCTTCAATGAAAAAATCAGCACCAATTAATATTCCCACACGATCGATAGATATTGTGGACACGCGTTCAATCAACCCCAATATATTCTCAGTGCTAGACTTCAATCACGCACACACAAACAGACTATTATCTATGTATATTAGACTATAGTTCAAGCAATTATTGATGACGAAGATGTGTTAGGTATTCCATTGTATCTAGTCTCGTTCATAGGGGTGCTCCTGTTTTTTTTTTAGTTTGTACCCCAAACCCCCAATAGTGAAGGCACGTCTGACCGTCTATAGTGTTGCATAAGTGTAGAATCAATGATCATATCATATAATTTTGTTCTGCAAATTAATACGTTTCTGCATGTGCAGACTACGCACCACGAAGAGGTATAAGTATAAGGTTGTGGACTTTCTTGTCATTCTCTAACCATTCACGGGTGTTCGGGATGGACTTTTTGATACACGAAGATACGTTTGTTGATTGAATGCAATCCCAGCTTTTTATTTAAAACGTAGTATTCTGGTCCAATACAGCACAAGCGATCTATCATAGAGGCACGCCCATCTTATTAATATTAAAATTTAATCGATGACTTGTCAATTAAAGAAAAGCTTTTATTAATCGAGCCACTCGTGGTTCACCGGCAGATGCTGTCGAGAAGGTAGCTCCTGATGTGGGTGTACTCGAACTGAGCCATCAGCGTCAAGGTGGAGGGACAGTCGTTCGCGGCGATGCATACGCCTGGAACCATATAGCGTACGATCATTTTAGGGCTAGAGTACGATCATTAATTTTTTCACAGTCAGGCTTAGAGTCATTAGAGGCTCATTTTATAAGATTCAAACTGTCATACTAAGTCTATTATATTGACGATACCATTTTTTTCGCATCCCGGTTGTCTTATAACAACAATATCAACTATCTTACTCCCACTTCATAAACTTCAACACATAAGGGCTTAACTAACAATTTTCCAGATGTAATTATATCGTTACAACGCCTTAAATAAATGCTCTTAAAGATTAACTATCACCGAGAAATATTACGTTATGGGTAGTTCTCACCGTCACCCCCCAAGAAGCTGTAGGGCAGGAAACACTTTCCTCCTACGGGAAGCTGGAATGTCGGAACGCGAGAGTTTGGCACACGAAAGTTTTCTGGATCAATCAAACTCGAGTCCAGAACGTCGATGTCATTTAATTCAGTGTTAGATAATTTTAATAGCGGCAAATCATTTTGTTTTGCGTCCGTGTTACTTCCAATAAGTGATTGAAAAAACGATGAAGCGAAGACAGGCTTGTTGAGATGGTCTTCCACTTGGGTGATCGGCCAATTTCCGGGCGGCGCTAAGTTTGCCGGCCAATTTTGCGAGGGCTCGAACGTAATTGGCTCTGAATTAACACTTCGTGGTGAAGGGGAGCTTGATTGTGAGGGTCGTACGTGGGGGATAAGTTGTTTCGGCAAGCCACTTGGTTGTGAGGAAGAGAGGGGATCGCTATGCGGGAGATGGGAAGGTGGCAGGCCATCAGTCGCGGTGCTCGAGCCTAAACTTCCCTCATCTCGAGATCTGGTGTCAAGATTCTGTCCCAGATTAAAAAATTTACTTAACATTGGTCCCTTCACATTGGTGAATTGGATTTTTGTTGTCACAGAAGGCAACTTTCTAGGTAAGAAAATGTTGCTGCGGCGTGGTTCGTGTATGGCCGTTGATGCTAACTGCAGTGACGACGAGCCTGTTCATGGAGTATATATGGCGCGATTAGTTTCGCGGTAAACAGACGTCATTAGTACAAATGATATACAATGAATAACAACTGTTGAATGCTGATAAAATTTGTAGTTTTAGAGTCGTCTAGTCTCATGATGTTCCATCGTGAGATGAAAATAAATATTTACGAACATATTTCTGGACGTATGATACAGTAATGAATCAGTTAGATAAAATGCAAAACAATTGGAGTAATATAGTAATTGGCGTTATAACTGGTTAATGAAACACATTACCTTCATTACTGAGTCCTCGTGCAGGTAGTAACAGACTCAGCGTTAAGATGGTTAGCAGCGTCACCTGCCAGCTCTGCATGTCGCTACAACTTGCTAGCTAGTGTGCACTTAGACTGCACTACAGCAACGAACTCGGACGCGTTTTGAAGCAATTTATTTTCATCTTTTGATCATCTGCGAATCCTCAAGTCGATTACTTTAAATGTCATCAATATAAAGGTTTCAGAATTTAAAAAATGTCGCAGATTAATAAATTTAACAGAAGAAATACTGGTTTAATTACTGCCATGTCTTGCTGGGAGAGATTTGAGCTACAGCCTATTATGTTGGAAGCACGACGCTGACTGAAAGTACGCGTCCGGCATTGCGGATGTAATTTGCGCCTTCCGTGATTTCACGTCACTTCATCTCGAGTTGATTGCATGGAATCACGAATCAGCAAGCATACATAATGGCACTTGGTTAGCGTGACTGGCGCTTCTGCAGTGAAGATAAATCTGCTCTTTTGCGCGAACTAAATCGTGTATCATATATTATATTATATTAAATTAAATTATATTATATTATATTATATTATATTATATTATATTATATTATATTATATTACATGTTATATATATTATACTATTCAGCATCGTTGACGCTCCAAGTATACATAAGTTCAAGAACAGACTAAATGAAGCTTTGCAGGAGCATAGATTTCGACTTGAAAAGCCTTCCACCTCACAAATTGGTGGATGTTCAGCAGCTACTCGGCTTCAACGTCAGTTTTGCATAGATGTGGTCAAAATAATAAATCGCTTCTCGCAATACAGATTTTCAAAAATACCCCAGATATATTGGCGGGCAAGATATTGATCGCTAGACAATATCAATGGTATTTTCAGCATAGATATGACACTTGAATTTACGATAGGAGTACACTTACGACTAGCTTTAAAGTTAAGTTACGAGCAGCATATATTGTCACCAGCGAAACACGCACGACTATCTTGACACTTAAAATCGTCGCAAAATTAGGATCGTCACAATTTTTACTATCACCGCAATATATATGATGCGCGCTACGTTTACTTTAAAAAATAGAAATTGTGATCTGAGCAAAACCTTTAATATTCGCAACACATACGACTATCGCAATAAGTAAAATCACATTACAATCATCGTATTACTTACGATAGTTGCAAAAACATCTGCCACTTCGCGTTCATTGCACAGATTGCATACACGACGCACGACAAGGAAGGGGAGGACGCATACTAGTGACGGAACACCTCCCAAGCAAGCGTGGGAATCTGCCACGTTCCCACCGACAACGATTGCACCGCCGACTGTTGGCAGTGGATGGCTTCAGCAATGATTGGAATAATATTAATAATTTACATATTGAGTCGATGGTTCCTGCAGGTAGGGCAACTGAGAGTGGCCTAAGAGTTGAGAATTATTGCGACTTTCTTAGGGTTTAGTAAAACAAGGCGAGCCAAAGAGTTAAGTAAAGCAGCGGGCACCTATGATACAAGTAACATGGACGACACCATCGAGTTTATTAACAAAGTGGACGCATAAGATTCGAGTGACACTGCGGTGCCTACGAGTTACAGTGTAAGATAAATAGCGATCTCACATGAGCTGAGTTATCATGGGCGCACTAGTGGACAATAACTGAGCGTGCGGGTAATAGTCGAGTAGCAGAGATGTTTATTGCAAACTCATCAATAAAAAGTCGAGGAACTTACATGCATTTACACCCAGCACGGTAATAATTTATGATCATTATAGTAACATAATAGGCCTACATCTACTAGTTCAACCATGGGCCTACATCTTCTGCCACAGGTTGGACGAGCAAGGGCTCGAAAATATACCCTATTTCTCAGCCATCAAGCGTATTCAAGTCTATAAGATGTCCAACTAAACTTGATGGATGGAGCAAACCATTTCCTGATACTCGGTAGTAGAGTAATGAAATTACAAAAATATATATTCGATAAGTATTTCCAGATTAAGCACAATATTGAGACTCCAATCTTAAGATGCGAGTGCTTTTGCTTCGTCAGCGAGGCGGTCAGCACAGCCACTCGCTGCGGCTTCCGCTGACATGTGACAATTGACATAACAACTGACATCGACAAAATTTAAACGAAACGAAGACATGCATACTCGTCTATAAAGGCATTCCCTATTTAATTGATCTACACCCTTTGACTTTATTCGACTTTTGATTTTTCTGATCGAGTGACTCAAGTGAGTAATAATCTCTCTCGGGAATACTCTGTAATCTTGAACGGGAATACTCGGGAATCTTGAACGAAGTCCCAATTATTTCTATGAGTGTGACATCGTAAGGCTATAAATGCCGTTCACTGATCCCTTGTTAGATGATCACTGGGATGTGCGGTATAGTATTAATCCTTTAATTTACGATACGCGCGACACTTACGATCACCGTAACTAATGTGACTATGATATACGACCACCGCAATTATAAGAAATTCGAATATACGACCACCGTAACTGAACATGAAACGGTTACGATCATATAGACACTATTTATCAGGAATGTCTGCGAATGCGTTCCCGTGGCACAGATTGAGTGACACGACGTGTAGCGAGAGTGACACGACGTGTGACGAGAGTGACACGACGTGTGACGAGAGTGACACGACGTGTAGCGAGAGTGACACGACGTGTGACGAGAGTGACACGACGTGTAACGAGAGTGACACGACGTGTAACGAGAGTGACACGACGTGTAACGAGAGTGACACGACGTGTGACGAGAGTGACACCTGTCTCTTATACACATCTAGATGTGTATAAGAGACAGATATAGATCTATTAACATTTCTAAGCAAATATATAAAGCTACTAACATTCCTATGCAAATATATAAATCTATTAACATTTCCACGCAAATATATAAATCTATTAACATTTCCACGCAAATATATAAATCTATCAACATTTGGTTGCAAATACATAAATTTATTACATTCCTATGCATATATAAATATCTATTAACATTTCCATGCATATATATAAATCTATTATCATTTCCATGCAACTATCCGCCCCCACCGCGAAGATCTGGAGGCCCTGGGCGGTGAGCACCAGCAGGCGCTTGACGCCGTCGCCCATGACGTCCTCGTGGGCGACGCTCAGCACCGGCGCCCCCACCATCAGCCGCGTCACCAACACCCAGCCTCTGCCGTCACCACCTTCGTCGTCCACTTCGTCACCATCGTCATCACCGCCACCACACACCGTGTAGATGAGCACCGTCTGCGCAGTCAGATAAATGAGTGAGAGTTTGTCAAAATACCGCTCTACTTTTTGCCAGTTTGGTCCGGCAAAAAAGCTCATTAATTTACCGTCCGCTCTCTGTTCCTGGTGTGAGGAAGGAATGCATCCTTAGTTGGACAATGACGCACTTATTTTTCTATTAAAAGAGCGGAGACTTCACCGGAAATGACGGGAATCATAAAAAATTGAATTTTTTTTACCTCCAATATGATGGTAACATCGCCACATAAAATTTGACTTTAAATTCTTGCGAACTGAATTCAAATGTGGCATATACAAAAAAATATAATTTTAAAAGAATTTCGTCAAAAAAAGCATTAGCGTCAAAAGCAACAAACTCATAATAAGTAAGAATATCGTCACAAGTAACAACATCATAATAAGTAACAATATCGTCACAAGTAACAATATTGTCAGAAATAGCAATATGGTAAATATAACAATACCTGCAAAGAACAACATCACCAACAATAACATACTCGTAACAAATCTCAACACGGGTAATATAAACTTCAGCTAAAATTCTTTTAAAATTCGACTCTCAGCGGTAGGTAAAATACTCCGCTAAAATTGTTAATTAATTTCTCCGATGTTGTTTGATCAACAACAATAACATAATCATAACAAATCTCAACACGGGTAACACAAGACCTGGTCGTAGGTGCTCACAACAATAACATACTCATAACAAATCTCAACACGGTTAACATAAGACCTGGTCGTAGGTGCTCACAACAATAACATACTCATAACAAATCTCAACACGGCTAGCACAAGACCTGGTCGTAGGTGCCCAGCAGGAGGTAGCGGCGGCGGTCGCCCGTGAGGCGGGCGCTGCAGCAGCAGGTCACGACGTCGTGGTCTCCTGACGCACGCAGGGCGTGGCTCTCCTGCAGCACACCACCCGCCACGCCCCTGACACATGTGACACACTTGTACTACTTGTGCGTATATATCTATATTCTTTTTACTAAAAATTTAAAAGCAAAGACTAGTCCACAAAAATTCATATCTTTATAGAAAACGTATCCTTTGTACGTTTTCTATAAAGATATGAATTTTTGTGGACTAGTCTTTGCTTTTAAATTTTTAGTCAACTTGCGATTTAAGCAAATAAGTGACATTAATATTCTTTTTCTAAGTCAAAATTATGAGAAAGACATAAAACCTCAGCAAGACCTAACATTATATCTAAAAGCAGGACACGTGAAGACAATATAACAATATTCAATATATGAATACTTCAATATAGGTATCAATATTCAATTTATCAATAATTCAATATATGAATATTTCAATATATCAATATTATTTTTCCGTTGTTTGAAGCGAATGTTTTGTACTCATGGTTGAGGCAATATTCATAAGAGAGGCAGATGAAATCATTCATCCTTGATATAGTAAGGGATTTATGAAGGATATTATGAAGGACATTATGACGGAAAATTATGACAGAAATTTATTACGGACAATATGAGGGATATTATGAAGGAAAATTATGTAAATTGTAATATTGACATTATGAAGGATATTATGACGGACATTATTAGGGATATTATTAGAAACTTACAACAGAAAATTATGAGGGACATTATGAGGAAAATTATGACGGAAAATTGTGAGGGACATTATGAGGGATATTATGACGGAAAATTATGAGGGACATTATGAGGGATATTATGACGGAAAAATTATGAGAGACATTATGAGGGAAATTATGACGGAAAATTATCAGGGACATTATGAGGGATGTTATGAAGGACATTATTAATGATATTACGAGGAATGTACGACAGAAAATTATGAGGGACATTATGAGGGATATTATCACAGAAAATTATGAGGGATGTTATGAAGGACATCATAGTGGAGATTATAAGGTCTCACTGCAGGACGTAGCTGTGCCTGAGGGCGCTGGTGGCGAGCAGCTGCAGGCTCTCGGGGGGCACCTCCTGAGCGTCTAGTCCTGACACATATACACAAAGTGAGTCAAAAAAGAACTACACAAGAAATTTATTTCAAATCGTAGCAAAATTTTCCGCCTTTCATGTTGATTTGTTTTATTTGTCGATTTATGTTCTGATATCTGTGATTTGAATTTTCGTTTCAATAATTTATTGAATTTACATTCCACGATTTTGAACTGACGAGAGAGCTTGACTTCAAAACTTGTACGTATTTCGATAAAAAAGATCGAATTTTAGTGCCATTTTGTTTGTTTGTAAATTCCATAACCGCTACTTTGAGTACCTACACAACCTCAGCTAAATGATCACAACAAGCGGTGACTCAAAGCTATAGCCACGTCCGTAACAGAGGTCCTATATAACATCCTAGAACGCTATATAGAAAGTCTATTATACGCGATGATACTATTTTTATCCTTTTTACATACAGCATTGATTTATTTCTAATATGTCCTATTATATGTGTGTACAGAAGTGAAGCGATGAGCGACTTAGTTTGTTCACAAGAATTTCCATAACCCTGATCCGTGAGAAAAATGCTAATTATGATGATCGAAAAGCAGTTTTGCTAAGCAACATACAAAATTAAAAAGGTTCCGAAATAAGCAGCAATATGTAATGGTAATTGGAGGCAAGGGCTCCTCATTAGAAGTAATGGGTAAATAATGGTAACTAGTGACACTGAACTCGTAATTGACAGTAATAATGTGCCTAATGGTAGTTAAATATTAGTTAAATAGGTAACTAATGGTAGCTGGAGTTACGCAACCCGTATTAAAATATGTAACTAATGGTAAGTGGCGGCACGCTATTCGTATTAAAATAGGTAACTAATGGTGAGTGGCGGTACGCAACTCGTAGTAAAATAGATAACTAATGGTAAGTGAAGTCACGCAACTCGTATTGGAATAGGTAACTAATGGTAGGTAATTGGCGGCACGCAACTCGTATTAAAATAGGTAACTAACAGTAACTGGCGACACTTACTCTGGACAGGAGGCAAGAACGGTGGATAAGGCTCGGGCTCGTCTCTCATGCTGAAGAGCAGCACGCTCGACATCGTGTGTTCAAACTTAAACTTCATCTCGGTACAAACTGACGCCTTCAGCACCCGCGTCGTCTCCAGCAACTCTGGGTCTGGTCCCTCCAGCTCTGCAGATTCCATGGATCCTTGCTCTGCGGAGGATCTTTTAGCCTCCATGGAAGACATTAAAGCGCGACGAGACCTGGCAGTTGAAGAGACATGGCGCCTTCGGGACGAAGAACTTTTCGGAGTACTGCTCAGAGAAGGCGGTTTGTGTTCGGCTTTCTGAGGCAGAGTGCCTTCCATCAATGAGGCTNGTGCTCGTCTTCATAGCCGATGAAAATACCCCAACTCCGTTGTCGTACTGCCGTCGAGGTGACTGTGACCGTACCACTTCTTCTTGATGGAAATCGTGACCGTATCGTACCTGTCTCTTATACACATCTAGATGTGTATAAGAGACAGATCCTAAACTGTAAGCCGAACTATAATCTAAAAGTATATTATATAATCGTTTACGCTGTCCCTCTATATCCTCGGATCCAGCTACAACCGAACCACCCTCAGGTCATACTTAATTACAATTCATATAACAGTTGCATAGAAAAGCAACCTGTTACAGTACGGTTACCGACCAGTTAACAACACCGTACACTGGCGCCCGAAATAGTAACCTGTTACATTATTTTTCCAACATTTGCCCTTTAAGACAACAAACATCGAGTAGGTCCCGGCAAAAAACTCTCGGAAACAACAACTTTCAACGAAACGGAAACAACAAAATGGTGTTCTAGAAATATTCACGTGCAAAATTGTTTGGCAAATTATATACGAGAGCAAAAATTTTCAACCGCACAAACTATTCTAGGACGGAAGTTCCTAGAGTGGAGTCAAGTACCTCGGTCGTATATAGTACCTCTGTCATAGAGTACCTCTGTTGTAGAGTACCTCTGTCGTAGAGTACCTCTGTTGTAGAGTACCTCTGTCGTAGAGTACCTCTGTTGTAGAGTACCTCTGTCGTAGAGTACCTCTGTCATAGAGTACCTCTGTCGTAGAGTACCTTCGTCGTAGAGTACCTCTGTCGTAGAGTACCTCTGTCGTAGAGTACCTCTGCCATAGAATAACTCTGTCGTAGAGTACCTCTGCCATAGAATACCTCGGTCGTAGGGTACCTCTGTTGTAGACTACCTCTGTCGTAGAGTACCTCTGTCGTAGAGTACCTCTGTCATAAAGTACCTCTGTCGTATAGTACCTCTGTCGTAGGGTCCTGTTCTATAGCGACCGTGAAGACGCTCACAGATCCATCTTCCCCGCAAGCTGCTGTTGTGCGCCTGCGGAAATGAAAATTTTTTACGAGGTCATTACTAATCTTCCTGGGTATGATTAATGATAATCATGATTAATGACAATAAGACATTAGAACTTGCTTGAGCTCTCAAGTCCCCAGTCGAACAGCCTGCAACGTAATCGGGCAATCCAAAATCCGTCAAAAAGCAACATTTCTCCCAGATTCCTTAGTCAGTGGAACGATACGAGAAAGATAACGATGTAGTATTAGTACGCTAGGTATTTGTTTCAACACATATCTGAGGATATCACGTAATTAATTTTACAGCAGGAAATACAAATGGAAATTATTCAGTATAAATCTAGAAATAATTAATTATATCACGAGACTAACTTTGGTGCAGATATTAAAAATAAATGAATGGGTCGGGCAATAGTGCGACCTGCAGCCGTTGAGTGCCGTGCGGCAGTGCAGACGCAGCACCCTGTAGTTCAGGAGGAGCAGCTCGGGGAAGAAGAGGCTGGGGTTCAACAGGCAGTAACGTCCTTCCCTCTCATCGGGGGACAGACGACCTGCCCCAGTAACCTCGTCCCCAAACAAGGTCTTCGTCTTGCCAGACCGCTCCCCTGAACCGGTCTCCAGAGGAACATGTTTGCAGGGACTCATGACGAATCGTTTCCTCAAGGGCTTCTCGGGACCAGGCACGTCACTGCCATAACGTCGGCTACCCTCGTCGTCTTCATACTCTTCCTCTTCTTCGTCGCCATCCTCATCTTCCTCTTCGTCCTCGTCGTCCTCCTCTTCATCGTCGTCATCGTCGGTGTGGATGTGATCGCGATCGTCCCTGACGCAGTCGTCTGCTGAGAGCCCCAGGGCCTGTTATAGAATTTCAGGATGGCATTAAGGTATTACCCCAAAATATAATTATGTTATATAATTTTTTATATTAGATACTTACGTAACTACTCATATAAAATAATTTATGATGACGACATCTTTGCGACACATCTTTTTATAGTGTGCATGTAACGAATGATCAATGAAAATTAAAAAAAAGAATTCCATCAAGAATGTAGTGAGAATATCATAAGCAATTATAAGCAGGTATATAAATTGAAAACCTTGCCGTATTTATATCATGATAATGGAGTTATAGATATTCAACTATGAGACAAAATAAGAATATAGGATGTACGAAGTTGCAGACTTACATTATTGTTCAGAGAGCCGTCCTGACCGTCGCCTGGGCCATCGTCGTCGCCTCCTACAGGCAGCCCCACCACCACCACCTGCGCCCCCGTCACCACCCACACCACCTGCAGCAGTGCACGATAGAGTACAACCTCATCACCACCCACACCACCTGCAGCAGTGCACGGCACGGTAGAGTGCAGCATCACCACCCACACCACCTGCAGCAGTGTACGGTAGAGTGCAGCAGTGCACGGCACGGTAGAGTACAACCTCGTCACCACCCACACCACCTGCAGCAGTGCACGACACAGAGGCGGCCACTACACACCTGGTGGCCGCCAGTACACGGCACAGTGGCGGCCACTACACACCTGGTAGCTGTGTGGTGCAGTAGTGAGAGACTCAGTCTCTCGCACCCAGCTCCCGGGTTCGAGTCCCACTGAGGACAAAGTTCTACCGGGAAGCTCAGCTCACGGTCAACTCAGCCATTCATCCAACTCTGGTTGATAAATGAGTACCTGGCTTGTCCAGGGTGTTGTGTAATGCAATAAAATGGTTCTGGCGGGTCAGCGAGCCAGTGATGGTCGCGGAACTACCAGTGGCATCGAGTGCCCGGAAAAACTTACCTATCACCCCCCTCCCTAGTCGCCACTGCCAGGTTTGGCTATTACAACAACAACAACACACCTGGTGGCCGCCAGTACACACCTGGTGGCCGCCAGTACACGGCACAGTGGCGGCCAGTAGCTGGTAGGGGCGTGTAGGCAGCAGGACCTCCTGACAGGCTTGCCGCTCTTGGTGCACATGGAGGCTGAAGACCTCGTCGCCCTCAGCCTGCGCCTTCTGCACGAAATTCTTGCGCTCACATATGGCGTTCATACGTACCATCTAAATTATCAATATACACTCAATATATCTAAATTATAATTATAACTAACTATACACCTTTCAGTATTCAACTCAATGACCATAACGGATGACAATATTGTTGCAAGTTGTATAAAGCATACTGACGAAGGCGGTGGTGAAGGCGTAGTGAAGCTCGCCTGTGAAGTGGTCGATATACGCAGCCAGCGACACCACATCACACGAGGCTAGGTACATAAGATATAAAATATTTATTAAAAACGTAACTAATGTTTTTAAATTATTTTTAGTTAAGCAGAATGTTCATCATCGTGTATGACATAGATTAAAACCTTTCAAATGATTATATACCAGCATACCAGCGCTCTCTGTAATCACTGCTTCTCTTATTAAAAATTTACATGTATAGGCAGCCCTCGTTCATTTCTAATCCTGTAATATTTGCAAATTGGAGCTGCGGTCAAATTCACATTTAACATGGAATTTTATTTTTATTATCTCTTGTTTTAACTTTAAGAGAAACTTGAATTTGCTATTTGTGATTAGGCTTTACACATGAAAAAATCCATTGTTATTTTTAAATGAAACTTCTTCTACAATTTGTCAACATCTCACTCCGTCAAAAATAATATTCTATTTCCAGGTAAATTACGATATGCAACGATCGTGAAAAAGCGCCCGAAAAACCCTTTCATATTTCCAGTATCGTACGCATCTTCAATCACCTTCAACAAGGCACATTTTGACAAATATTTTGCAGGAGGTTATGTTAAAGATGAAACTCAGCCTCCGTACTGCATTGACAATGCAAATATCACAGTAGTAATATAAGTGTTATGAGATGGCGTCAGCTCACCGTCCAGACACGGTACGTCCACCTGCTGCTTCACCAGCTCGCCTGCATCGTTGCACTTCAGCAGGAAGAGCTGAGCAGTGGGCAATATAGGATTTAATTATTGTTAAATTGTTGTTAATTATTGTTAAATTATTGATATAATTAGCTTTTATGCTTGTGCTTAATCATCATTTGAATTGTATTAGCTATGTTTGCGATGATATTAATACTTATCATCGAAATCATTTGCAATGATATTTATTCTCTACCGTCGATAGCATTAGAAGAATACTTAGGCAACGTAAGACATACAGATTATACATTACTAAAAATTGACTTCAACGATCCGATGCACCGTCAAATGTATTATTGCCAATTCAATAATTTTGTATTAATAATATATTAGGAGCTTGTATGAAACAGTCAGCATTTTATAATATTATGGAAATACTGAGCTTCTTTGTATACTTCCTAACCTTCTTGGTTGCGGCGACGAGTAACTGCGCAGGCCCAACAGGAGGCTCGACGGCAGCCAGGCAGTAGACGTTCATAGTGTGCGGGATGCTGGCAGGGGTGGTATTAACATACAGTTTATAATACATAAGGTGTAAATGTATGTATATAATATAGGTATATATATATGTATATAATATAAAACATAGCAGCCAGGCTGTAGACGTTCATGGTGTGCGGGATGCTTGCAGGGGTGATACAAACATAGAGTTTATGATACATAAGGGGTAAATGTATGTATATAATATAGGTATTTATAATGTAATATATGTATAATGTAAGACATGTATATAAAATAAAACATAAGGATGAATAGATAACAAGGGATGCTTAGGGATCAGGAGATCAATGGTATGCTTCTGAACAATACAGAGTCAGTAAACTTGTAACTCACGCCAACCATTGGTAACAACGTATCTAAGGCTTCTAACCGCATATCTAATGTTTGTTACCGCATATCTAATGTTTGTAAGCGTGTAGCTAATGTTTGTTACCGCATATCTAATGTTTGTAAGCGTGTAGCTAATGTTTGTTACCGCGTATCTAATGTTTGTAAGCGTATAGCTAAGATTTGTTACCGCGTATCTAATGTATGTAAGCGCGTATTTAAGGTTTGTAACCGCTTAGCTTTAAGGTTTTTAACCGGTCATCCAAGGCATTGTAACGGCGTACCTCTAAAGTTTGGGACCGCAAGCTAAGGTTTGTACCCCTGTAGGTTAGATTCGTTAGTGCCAAACTCAGTACAGTAACCTTGTCTCAGTATTAACACCGAGCAGCTACTTGACTCACCCTGATCACCCACTTGACTCACCCTGATCACCCACTTGACTCACCCTGATTACCCACGTGACTCACCCTGATCACCCACTTGACTCACCCTGATCACCCACTTGACTCACCCTGATCACCCACTTGACTCATCCTGATCACCCACTTGACTCACCCTGATCACCCACTTGACTCACCCTAATCACCCACTTGACTCACCCTAATCACCCACTTGACTCACCCTATGAACTGCTCACACGTAAGGTTTAGCTCCACCAGAGGTGTGTTCGTGACGTCATACGCACCCAGCTTCATCTTGAACAGGTTTTAATAAATACGCGAACAATAAAATAAATAGTTGTAATCAAAATTTAACAAAATGATTACTACTCATTATCAGGAAAATATGTATGATGCTAGAATTTCCAGTAATTCATTATGAACATTCTTCTGCTTTCAAACTTCGTGATATTGATGCCACTTGAAGCAGTAAGTATAAAAAAGCTACTAATTCTTAATATTGATATCTTGACATGTTGTGAAAAGATATTTATTAATTTAATCAAATTGTAGTTTCCAAGGCGAGTGAGAGATACAATGAAAACGGGCACAAATGAATATTTGGAGGTTTACATGAAGATTATGCCGACACGTAACGTGTTTAATGTGATGAATTTCAGAATCACGAAAAAACAATTTGTGTTTCGGCGCTAATTCCGAACTTCGGCGCAGCATTTTCGTCTCGCGCGGGTCATTTCATCAACATGATTCTAAAGTCACTCAGATTCTCTCATAATAAAATAAATAAAATAAAATTCTCTCATAATAACATGTATTCATTGTTAGTGACCCGTGAGGCACGTAACATGTATTCGTTGTTAGTGTTCCTTGAGACACGTAACATGTATTCGTTGTTAGTGACACGTGAGACACGCAACATGTATTCGTTGTTAGTGTTCCTTGAGACACATAACATGTATTTGTTGTTAGTGTTCCGCGAGACATGTAATATTGTAACATGTATTCGTTATTTTTATTCTTTGTATCATGTTGATTTCAATCTATCAAGAGAATGCAAGTTCAAGCAAGAATACTCAGGGTCCTGACTGGGGACCGGGGGAGTGCCGTAGTTCCCCAAGTGGGAGAGCTGTCCCCCACTCCCTGCGGTGCCCCTAGAGCCCCACTCGAGGTAGCTCGAGTACAGGTACGGTAATGCTTGAAATAAGAGTGCTTGCATTTCAGTAGAAGTAATTTTTGAAGTAACAGGGTCCAGTATGAATAAAAGCTCACGTGGTATCGAGTAACATCCCCTAATATCACTTTGAAGAAATTTGTGCTCTGGAAATGCTTCAAGTAACATCTATAGATCATCTGAAGAACTCCTACTTTAGTAACGCTGTGAGTAACAAAGCCCAAATACTACTTAAAGGAAACAGTGATCAAGTACTGTCTGAAGTAGCAGCCATAGCATCACTCTATGTAAACCGTGCATTAGTAACGCTATAAATAACAGCTTTGGTATCATTCAAAGAAACTCGTATAAAAGTAACTAATGAAGGCAGTTGAACATTTCGTTTAAATAATTAGAAATTAGATAAGAAAGACAATACAATAATTCCTCGGGCCTCTCAATTACTCAAATGACAAGACTTCAAGTCGTAATCCGGCCGTTAGATTGCGCCAGGATAGCCAAGAGACCACCACTTGTGGGATTACTGCAGGTAACAAGTAAACTTCACATGACAATCTATTAGCAAAACTTTTAATAAGACTAAGTTTATACATCGGTTTTCTTAGCGGGAATGATAAATGAAACAAATGATGTTTTATCAACTTAAGACACCGTGAGCTACTCCCGCGATGCAGGCAAATGCTGAGGGCCTAGCGGGCTGAACTGTGCCACACCAGCGACCATAGCACAGAACATGAGCAGAACTCAATGCCCATATTATTAGAACAATTGAAGGCGGCTACGATTATATGAAATAAATAACAACCTATACAAGTTTTGTACACACTAATTTTCTATCGTTACAATATAAATAAAATTTATATCAAATTGATTGTAAATCTGTTTACGATCCCAAGCAACAGCTCATGGTCTTTGAATTGCATCAGGAATGAGCTCTTTTAATAACTTTTAATTGTTGAATTAACAATAAATTGTAAAACTGCACCAAATATGACAAAATTAAAAACTTTTCGTTCAATTCCCCTAGTATTAAATTTTTTAGTTTTCCTTTATACAAATTTATGAAATTAAGCCTAAAATATAAAGTTATCACGCATGCTACCGACGGCCTGAACATTGCTTCCCGACAACTCGAGATTCAGGGGCCACGTACTCAAATTGAAACTTAAAATTCATTCAGCGCTACAAAACTGACGACACCAAAGTTGCAATTTGTCACAGGTATCATCAGTGCAGTTGTTGTGGTGGTCATGCATGATGTGACAGAACCCAGGCCAACTCAACAACAACAATTGTCAGCTGCTTTTTTTTCGTGTAGCACTTGTCACTGTTACCCTTGTATAAATGAGCACAATTGTTCGGTGGGTGCGTGGTTGCCTCCGCTTGAAGTGCACTAGAATATCATGTCGTCAGCAGCAGAGACGTCTTCGGCGGGAGGCACTTCCTCCATGTCAGCTTCATCGTCAGAATCGCTGATGTCGAGGTCGCCTGCGATGGCCGAGAAACCTGCCTGTTGTTGCTGCTCCCCTCTATCAGACTGGGGAATATCAGACGGCGGTCCTAGGAAGTTATCACTTGCATCAGCATTCCCCATGGTAGCCGGTGGTAGAGGCAACCTAATAGCGAAGTTATCTCCTGTGGGAAAATCAGGATCACTGGGTGTGGTCCCCTCATCCATCGGGATGGAGGCATCGTCAGGGAACGACGGTCCAGGGATGTCACCAGAGAACGAAGATACCAAGGAATCCTCTGGGAAAGATGGTCCACCATCAGGATAGATGGGATCGGAGTCTTGATATCCTCTGCCGTCGTCGCGGAAACTTGGACTTCTCTTGAAGGCCGTCGGAAGGTAGCCGGGGGCACCGAAACGCAACCCACCGCCAGGAATGATGACGGGCTTGACATCTTGCTCGAAGGAGTCGTAGTTTGGCGTTGGCATGAAGGATGCTGTGTCCATGGGGTATGCTGACTCGACGTCGACGGGTTCCTGCTTGACGGTGGCGGTGCCGAGGAGCTCTGAGCTGGTGGATGGAGGGGCAGCGGAAGCGTCGTAGTTCGTGAGCAGCGTGATGCCGCTTTTGCTGTCCTCTGTCTGCTCGTGCAAAAGCTCAGTGAAAAACACGGCACAACACCTAACAAAGAAGATGTAAAGTCCGCTGATAGCGCGGAACAGTGAAAAATATGAGTCAACGTCAGGTTATGAGCAACCTCAGTCTGCTAGCGCAACGACGCAGTAATAAATCAATGATATAAAAATGAAGATCAAACTCCTCAGTGATATACATGAATTGAATAAAAACCACAACACCTAAAAACCCGTGTTTAATCAATTTAAAAAATCATGCAGTAGCATTGGAAGATACCATTGGCGCAAAGATCATAATATTGCACATTTAATCCTATTATTTAATTGCTGTGACATGATACAATGATAGAGCAGACGACACGCACCTCAGGGTAGGGGGGGCGGTAGGACGAGGAGGACGACAGCGCCATCATCGCCTCAGCGACGCCGCGCTTGTCGTCTCGAGGCTCAGCCCCTCCATCATCGTCGCTGTAGCGCTCTGTGCACACCAGGGAAGTTATTAACATTTCTTTTGGCTGAGTTATCACCATTTCTGATACATAGGTTATTATCCTTTCTTTTAGCAATGCTATTATCATCTCTTTCATTGAGGTAAATATCATCTAAATGATCTAATTAAAAAAGTGTTACTACAATCATCACCACCCACACCACCTGAAAGTGTTACTCTTTTTCAATAGGGTTATTACTATCTCTTTAAAAGGAGACATTATCACCTCTGAGCAAGGTTGTTAACATCTTTTAGCGAGGTTATTATCATCTCTTTATGCAACGTTATTATCATCTCTTCACTTATGCCGATTCCACGGAACAACTACAAAGGCTATTTTACATCGTCGGAAATATACGAAGTAAGACGTAAATTTTTATGCGTGACGTGAGTTTTAAATGAAGGAAATAGCCTATAACTCAAGACTATACAATGCACTTACCAGGCGCAGGCCCTATAGATGAACCGTCCGCCCCATGGAGCTCGTCCTCCTCGCCCGACACGAGCGAGTCTGCCTCGGTCTGCTCAGCGATCCGCTCACGGGCCAGCGCCATCTTGCCCTCCAGCTCAGACAGGTGGTCCCCGTACTGCACGAGCAGGAACATAGGTAAGGCATAATACAAAGCTAAAATTTTTCTTGTTAAGAGAAAATATATATCAATAATTAAAACCAAAAAGCAGGTAGAAAAATATAAATAAATCTAGGTACTGCATGAACAGGAATAATAGAATAGATAACATTTTTCTGTTAAGAGAAAATATATATCAATAATTAAAATAAACAAGCAGGGAGCAAGAATATAAATAAACATACTGCATGAGGCATGAGCAGGAATATATGTAAAGGAAGACACACAAATTTATTGAATTTTTGCTGTAAATAAAATAAATGTAAACTATTACAACAATAAATGTAACATATGTAAATTATTGTAACAAAGAGAGCATTTCCACAACCACGCGAAAATACAAGCGAGTGATTATTTTAATTGCAGTTAGAAATCAGGAGAGCAGATCTATTTTTAATGGTGAATTTCACACATGATGACTTTCAATCTATTTCATTATATAAATTAGGTCTGTGACTAGACTGAGCTGCTCTCTTCCAAATATTGAAACATTAAAAATTGTTACATAGTACCTATTAAAATTTCAAAAATTCCAAAGACTTGTTACAAATGATTTACGTAAACGCCTTACTTCATCTAGACTTTCGGTGACAATCTGTAGGAGCGCCTCGGCCTTCTTGGAGTAGGACGAGTCAGGACCGTTGTACACTTGGCTGTTCTCGTGGATGAGTTGGAAGTCCGTGATGAACTCCGCGCGGCTGTGGTACTTGTGATCTGAAGGCGAGTGTGTCATTCGTTACCAGAAAAAACGTCAATAAATTACATGAACAAATTAAAATTGACGATGTGATACTTGTGATCTGAAGGCGAGTACACCATTTGACCTCAGAGACCAAGAGACGTACTAACAAATATAGTTACAAGCCAACCACTGACGGCTTTTCAAGCGAAAACCACCAATCAGAGACGAGAAATCGGCTGCTATGTGCATTTGTGCGATTTTTGATAGTCCATGGCATTAGTCATGGCATAAGTGACGGGTGACCAAGTGATTTGATATAACTTACAGAAATTCTAATTCAATACTCCCTAGTTTAGTTATTTTACATTCTGTACTCAAATATGTTTCAAAACTAAAATCAATTATATACCTACACTAAATTTTACAGGTTTAGACTTCTATCTAAGAATATTCGGTTGTGCCAGCACACAGGAAGCTCAAACACCACGTAAAATAATAATAACGTAAAATTAACGTCAAAATCACATGGAAAAACCATTCATAAGATTCAAATAAAAAATTGGAACACACTCTTGACTTTCTTGATGACCGTTGACAGGTCCATGGGGTTTTGGATGATGTCGTAGTAATCCTTAACGTTCTTCTTGCTCACTTAATGTAAGGAATCCTGCCTACATAATAACTTGACCCCACAACTGAGACCTGCAGTCAGACACCGCGAGCTCAGCGGTGGGGCGCTCGGGAACAATCCCCCTAGGAGCGCGAAATCCCATACGACTTCTGACGAGCACAGACACGCGTCAGAAGTCCCCCCTGAGGGGTCAGAGACCAAGAGACGTACTATCGAATATAATTACAAGATAATCGCTGACGGCTTTTCAAGCAAAAACCACAAATCAGAGACGAGAAATCGGCAGCTATGTGCATTTGTGCGAGTTTTGATAGTCCATGGCATAAGTCAATCCCGTTGCATACACAAAAAAAAATATAACTCAGTACTCACTGCAGTGAGTGACAGAGAACGCATTTTCTCGTCGACGAAAACGTGGTCACGGACGGACGGACGGACATGACGAGCACAATAGCACCTCTTTCCATAAATGAGAAAATGCGCTAAAAATGACGGGTGACTAAGTAATTTGATATAACTTACAGAACTCCCAATTGAACACTTTCTAGTTTATTTATTTTTCTTTCTGTCTTCAAAATTGTTTCAAAACTGAAATCAATATTATTTACTTAATTTTACAGGTTCAAACTTTTATCTAAGAATTTTCGATAGTGCTAGTACACGGAAGCTCAAAATACCACCTGCAGCATTTGTGTGGCATTCCTGACAAGAAAGCATTGGAAGTTTCGACATAATAACGTAAAATTCATATCGAAATCACACGAAAAGACAACCATAAAATTCAAATAAAAAAAATCAGAACTCACTCTTGACTTTCTTGATAACCGTTGACAGGTCCATGGGGTTTTGGATGATGTCGTAGTAATCCTTAACGTTCTTCTTGCTCACGGGCTTCATGAAAGGCCAGGAATCGTTGGTGGTGACGATCTTCTTCTGTACGATGTTGTCCAGGATGAAGTCAAACGCCACCTGACCGCACCACCAACGTTAAAATTCTTGTCACATCATTAGTTATGAATAAACATATGTTTTCATTGGCCTCCTTAGACAAAATTCAAATATTATTGCAAAGAAACCTTTTTTCCGTCTAATTTCATTGATATCCGTTTTCCATTCATGCTATTTAACTCATTACTAATTGGCAATTAATATTCAGCTTCAAAATCGACGAACGGCCATTCAGAAGACCACATTCAACGATAGCAAACTGCAGGTTTCATGCCACGGTCAACTGCTGCACATCACCTGATCTCCACCATCTATGGTCTAACTTTACGGTAGCAAACAGCAAGTTTTCTATCGTATCTATAGCATCATCAGCACATCACCTGATCTCCATCATTGATGGTCTAACTTTACGATAGCTAACAGCAAGTTTTCTATCGTCTCAATAGCATCAACACCACATCACCTGATCTCAATCTTCGATGGCCTAACTTTACGATACCTAGCTAAGAGCAAGTTTTCTATCGTATCTGTGGCATCGTCTATTCTATTGCTCCATCATTGATGGTTTAACTTTACGAAAGCAAACAACAAGTTTTCTATCTTATCTTTACTCTACAGCATCAACAGCCCATCACCTGATCGTCATCATCAAGCAGGGGGTTGATGGCCTTCTCAAGCCTCATTAGTCTGTCCTCCTGCTCAGCAAACTTGGTAATGCAGAGCTCGAGCATGCGCCCCGCGGTGACGGTGAGGGTGCTGGCCTCACCGTTGTACTTCTTGCTGTTCTCCACGATCTGCGAGACGTCAGAGAGGAACTCCTCTCGACTTTGGTACTTGCGCTGACGGAGGTTCTCTCGCATTGTCGAGAGGTCCATTGGCGCCTCCACCAGGTTGTAGTAGTCGGGTACCAGCTGTAGAGAGAATATAATTCGTCAGAGCTTTGACGACTGCAAGCAACGACAGTAAACAAACAAAAAATTATACTGAGCCAGCAAAAAAATATATTTCAGAAAAAATTATGAGACAGTCGATAAGAATTTCAAAAGTCAATATAAAACAAGAAGCAATCACATTTCAACCTTAAGATTAACGAGTCAAGTACCTATCACCTTTGGATTATATTACAACCTCAAGATTAACGACTCAAGCATCACCCTCGGATTCCATTACTACCTTAACATAAACTAAGATTAACGAGTCAAGTATCACTTTCGGATTATATTACAACCTCAAGATTAACGAGTCAAGCATCACCTTTGGATTATATTACACCATAAAATTAACGACTCAAGCATCACCTTTGGATTATATAACAACCTTAAGATTAACGAGTCAAATATCACCTTTGGATTAACAGGTCTGATGAACGGCTGGGCATCAGGCATCTCTCTCATTTGGTTAAGAATGTCCTCAAGGATGGTGGAGAGCGTGATGACGGGGTCTATCCTGCGCCTGTTGACGCTCTTGTGTTTCCTCTTGAGGTAATCGCAGTGCACGACGGTGCCTGCACGTCGCCTCTTGGAGCCTCGCCCGCCTACTGCACCAAAGTCGCTGGAGAGACTGTCGCGTCCTCGGGACCGGGAGCCCTGAGACCGACGCTTCAACTCCTCCGCGTGCTGCGGAGTTAGATTTGGATAAATAATTGATCAGTGTTACATATAATGGACAATTCGTGGCGTTTTATTTTAGGAAATAATGAACAATGTTCAAGATAATTAAGTGATGCACAGTGTTCACATACATAACCTAACAAAATGGTGAGCAATGCGATGCTTGGGAGGATTTGCACACAAGAAGTAGGTTAACCAATGGTGGATTGATAAAGAGTCAATTAGGACGCAACAAACCTCCATAATCTTAGAGGAAAACGTGGAGCTAAAGAAAAATCTTCATTGCTTTAGAGGTCAACGTTATCTTAATACGGGACAAACCTTCATAACTTCAGAGGACAACTCTATCTTAATACGGGACAATCCTTCATATCTTTAGAGGACAACTTTATCTTAATACGGGAAAAACCTTCATTACTTTAGAGGACAACTTTATCTTAATACAGGACCAACCTTCATAACTTCAGAAGACAACCTTATCTTTATACTGAACAATCCTTCATAACTTCAGAGGACAACTTTATCTTAATACGGGAAAAACCTTCATTACTTTAGAAGACAACTTTATCTTTATACAGGACCAACCTTCATAACTTCAGAAGACAACCTTATCTTTATACTGAACAATCCTTCATAACTTCAGAGGACAACTTTATCTTAATACGAGACCAACCTTCATAACTTTAGAAGACAACTTTATTTTGGTGCCATCAACATTGATGAGTTCATCAGAGTCGTCGAAGCCAGCGCCTCGGTCCGCAATCAAGATAATTAAGTGATGCAGTGTTCATATACTACATAACCTATCAAAAAGGGGAGCAATGCGTTGCTTGGGAAGATTTGCATACAAGAAGAATGTTAACCGATTGTGTATAGATAAGAAGTCAATTGGGACGCAACAAAACTTCGCTATTTCAAAGGAAAATTTGGAGCTAAAGCAAAAATATTCATTAATTCAGAAGACAACTTTATCTTAATGCGGGACAAACCTCATAACTTTAGAAGACAACATTATCTAAATACGGGACAAACCTTCATAACTTTAGAGGACAACTTTATCTTAATAAGGGACAAACCTTCACAACTTTAGAGTACAACTTCACCTTAATACGGGACAAACTTCATAACTTTATAGGACAACTTCATCTTAATACGGGACAAACCTTCATAACTTTAGAAGACAACTTTATTTTAATACGGGACAAATCTTCATAACTTTAGAGGACAACTTTATCTTTATACGGGACAAACGTTCATAACTTTATAGGATAACTTTATCTAATGCGCGACACACGTTCATAACTTTAGAGGATAACTTCATCTAATACGGGACCAACCTTCATAACTTTAGAAGACAACTTTATTTTGGTGCCATCAACATTGATGAGTTCATCAGAGTCGTCGAAGCCAGCGCCTCGGTCCGCATCGTCCAGGGAGTCGTCAAGACTCATCTTCTTCTTGACATCAGAGTCGCCGTAGTTGCTCGCACCTGTGATAATAATGTCTAGAATTATTAAATTATTCATTAAAATAATATCATTTATTAATTTTCTTAGAATTATGCCCTCGTATTTGATGGTGTCTGGAGACATAAAAATAAATTTGGGTAATCTATACGGGTTAGATATAATCAAGAATTCTCAGTGTAAAACATTTTACAATGGCATATTTTTACCCTTGCTAAACGCGGCCTATATAATGAATGAGCACAACATCTGTCGCGGCAATTAAGCATAGAATAATGTTGCATAGTCTTGCAGCTATAAATAAATAGAATGCAGTCGTAAAGTTATATATAAATAAAGAAAATACAGTTATAGAGCAATAATTGTAGAAATTGTTGAAGAGCTGTGAAATAAATAGAACACGGTCGTACAGGAGTGTATGGAGTGTAATCATATTCTAATCATTCTATGGAGTGTAATCATAAAGCTTTGATATAAATAAATAAATATAATGGATTGCAAAGCAATGAGTAAATATAAAACAGTCTTAAAACAATAAAGAAATATAATAGTCGTAAAGCCGTACCAGGCAGGGAGTCCATCATAGAATTGCCCGTGGAGCCGATGACAGAGACCCCGTCGGCACCCCCGCCCCCCGGGCCCGTGTACAGCGGACACGCTTTGTTGGTGCGCATGTGGCCCACCTTAGGACCGATATTTATTATTATGATGATGGATATTTCGTACATATTGTAATATATGATTGGGGTGGATACTTGTGGACCACCAGCAAGGTGCAAGGCATGATGGAGCTTTCATTATTATAGATAAAATATGATAGATAATTGTGCTCTGGCTGTAATGAGGTGCGGCACTATACTTATAAATGTTAAAAATTAGTTAAAGATTTCAATTTTTCTGCGATGGCTTCAGTATGGTCAACAATTCTATTCCATTGTAAATGTATAAAGAAACAATACAAGGCCAATGCACACATGATAGATATAGTTCGAGGACTGAGATGAATCGCAACTAAGCAGCCATTTCTTAAGTTTAGGTTTCTTAGGACGAGGAGGCGTGACGATGCCCCTGGCAGCCTTCTCCTGGTTGCGTTTGATGCGCCGCAGTTGCTCCTGTAGGCGGCGACGCTCTCGCTTCATTTCTTCCTTTTGCACGTCATCTGCACGACACAGGTAGCTCAGGTCAAGGCACAGTGCGTCATACGTACTAGCTAATGAGATGTACTGATGTAAGTGATGTCTTGTGTTGGATAATGAGATATGCGAGCTAATGAGATGTGCCAAGTGATGAGTTGTGATGGATAATGAGATATGCTAGCTAATGAGTTTTACTAAGTGATGTCTTGTGCTGAATAATGAGATGCACTTGCTTATGAAGTGTGCTAGCTAATGAGGCGAACTATATAATAGAGTGTAAGACATAACGAGTTAATTCTAGGTAATACGTTATTTTAGTTAATGTGGTATGAAGGTAACGACACTCAAGGGAGGTTATGTTAGCTAAGTACGGTTAATAGGTTTAGACATTACTTATATTCTATAATAGATAATGAAGTACATATATTAGGTAATAAGGTACAATGTGTGAAGCCACACACGCCACACCATGTCAGTGGGCACACACGCCACACCACGTCAATGAGTCACACACTCCACACCACGTCAGTGGGCCACCATAACCCACCCAGTTGGCCGACGAAGTCTTTAATGAAGGTCTCGTCCTTCGTGGTGCGGATCTTGACGTAGGTGTCGATGAAGGCCGTCTTGCGGACGATCTCCACGCGCTGATACTCGCGCCCGTCCGCGCTCCGGAACGTGCGAGTGATTTTCAGCACGCGACCTGAAGATGGTTACGGTGGTCGTAAGTGATGTGCTTTACGATGGTCGTAAGTGATATGCTCTACGATGGTCGTAAGTGAGGTGCTTTACAATTGTCGTAAGTGATGAGTTCTACGCTGGTCGTAAGTGATGTGCTCTACGATGGTCGTAAGTGAGGTGCTCTACGATGGTCGTAAGTGATATGCTCTACGATGGTCATAAGTGAGGTGCTCTACGATGGTCGTAAGTGATGTGTTCTACGATGGTCGTATGGGATGTGCTCTACGATGGTCATATGGGATGTGCTCTACGATGGTCGTAAGTGATGTGCTCTATGATGGTCGTAAGTGATGTGCTCTAATGCTCTACGATGGTCGTATGTGATGTGCTCTACGATGGTCGTAAGTGATGTGCTCTACGATGGTCGTATGTGATATGCTCTACGATGGTCGTAAGTTATGTGCTTTACGATGGTCGTGAGTGATGTGCTCCACGATGGTCGTAAGTGAGATGCTTTACAATGGACGTAAATTAAGTGAAGAAGTGATAGTCAAATGCGAGTAACGGACTCGTAGAGCAGTAATTCGTTAAGTATGATTAACTGTAATTTATAACTCATTAAATAACTAATCATATTTAAGGCGATCTCAGCGTACTAGCGTTGCTTCTCATATCAGCATGAGCAAAAATCAATATAAAGCCAAATGGTACATTGAAAATTTATAAAACAAATGCACCTTCATCATGAAATTTTGCTTATCCCATTAAAAATTTCATATGCACAATAAAAATCACTACCTATCACGTGTGTTCCGAAATTGGATACCGAAAAGGATTTATACCCAGAATAAGATTTATTATTAATAATAATAACATTAAATTAAAATTTAGACAGCTCACCAGGTGTGCCGAAACCGTATCTGGAATTGTCATCCTCTTCCTTCTTGTTTTGCTTCTTCTTCTCCAACGCTCTATCCTCTTCACTCATCATCATTTTCTGCAGCTCCTTTCTCTCCTGTTCTTCCTTTTCCAGACTCATCTGCAGAAAGATTAATTTCTTAAGCTTTGTCATTTCTAAATAATCGTACTTGATACTGAAAGACTTAATAAGTAAAGATATTAAAAAACAAAATTTACAGTATAATTGTTAAATTTAATGTACTAAGTTGGGTACGCATTTGGATACCTGAGACGACGTCTTCTTATTCGCCAGAATATTTTCGATATATTTGCCTTTCTCTTCCATGTCCGAGTCGTTATCCTCTTCCTCGCTGCTGCCTTCGTCAGTAGATAGCACTTCTTCCGAGGCCAGCACGCGGTTCTGTAAGTCAAAGATTCGTTGGCACTCCTCCTTGTATCGCTCCTGATGCTCGGCGATGGAGAAACGGTTCCCTCGAGAGAATTTATTCATGCCTTCTTCTCCAGCCTTGGCTTTCTCTGTGCTGAGAGTGCGCACGACGTCAATGACCTCCCATCGAGACAGCTTCTTGATTTCTTCGTCTGGTACACCATATTCCTTGAGCAAACCCTTGGCGTTATTCAGAGACAATCTACGGAGATCAGCATCAGTGCCTGTCACGATTCTCTTGGGTTGTTGTTCCTGTTCTTCTTTGTTTTGTGTGGGTTTGTTAGGTATTCGGATGTAGGAAAAGCCCTCGCCGCAGCCTGTAGGGTCGGCAGGACCGGTGAGCTGCAGAAGACATTTGCCCTTGACAGCATGAATGTAAGCGCGCGTCGTGTGCCACGGAGCAACTTTGACTTCATCGTCCAGCTTCTGCGTGTCATCTTCGTTGTCGTCCTCGAGAGCTGACAAAAATTTGTCGCCATATCCAGCATCTTTGAGCCGCTGTTCCGCTGCCAACATGCTGCCAAAAGCACAGCACTGTTCAGGAGACACCATAGCACGAATTTCTTCCTCTGTAGGCAAGCGAAATTCAGGCTTTATCACCCACCAGTTGCTGTCAACACCAGTTCTCTTAAAATCTGCACAAGGCTTCAGGCGCTTCCTGATCGAGCTTTCCGAGTGAGTTGGAAAAGCCCTTTTAATTTCGTCCATCTTGATGCGCCTTGGTTCATCCCTGCTTTTCCAGAAGAGTCTATAGATGAAAACCTGAAGGAAATCTCTCACGTAGTTATTGGCACTTTTGCTATTAGGTCCTGGCACTTCATAGAGAGGACATTCCTGGCCGCTGCAGAAGAGGGCTTCTGCCTCACGAATGCTGTATCCATTGCGAGTTCGAATTACTATGAAGTCAGTAGGGGGCATTTTATGTTCATAAAGTGGAGCTCTGTACATGTTGTTCTCGAGAGTTTGAATGCTTTGGCCTGGATGCATGGAACCTAGGAAGGGAGAGGTGTGAGCGTACGCCGTCTCTCCAAAGCGATATTCAGGAGGGCCTTTGTCATTACAAGCCCTTCGCTTGTAATAGTTCTTAATGCGTGTGCACATCCCCGTATACGAGAGCAGAGGCGGGTTCTCTTCTACATACTCCACCAAGATCAGGTCCCCGTCCTTGCCAGTGAGATCATCAGGCGTGCGCATGAAGAACACGTCACCGCCACCAGAGGCAAGACGTTCTTGATCGCGCTGTTTCTCTTTCTTTTTGATCTCCTTGGCAAGTGAGTGGACAGAGTGAGACCCAGGGCTAGATAAAACACCGTGACTGAAGCGCTTCAGCGGCGGACGATGGAAATGACGTAGCTTCTTCTCGCCCATGTAAGTTGGGATGAAGGGCGCCTGTAGCTCCACAATTGGTGTTGAGTGCTGAAGCAGCCCACCAGCCATACTGATCTTGATGATCTGATCTTGGCCTTTGGCAGAATAGTACTCGTCGTTGCTCAGGTTGAAAGGATCTTTGTCAGGACTCTTGGGCGGCGGCGGAGGAGACTCTTCCTCAATGGTCGTGATGACGCCAGCCTTACCCAACAAAATTTTAGATTTCTTCACGTGGGGGTGAGGGATTTTAACCTTGACCGGCGCTTCCTCTTGGTTCAGAGTGGCAGGATCAATATCCTCAGGAATACCTAGAATTATGTTCTCGTCATTAGGGTCCAGGGTCAGTATTGGGGGCTCTGGTATCTTGTCCATGTTATCAGGGTCCCAAATGATGTTGTCCTCCCAGCGCGAGTAGACCAAGTCCTCGTTCTCAACTGGGAAGATCGAGTACCATGTATCGTCTTCCCCGCTGTCGATAAAACATCAAACTTAGCATACATTATTTATTGTTATGTAGACACTTTCCTGCCCATTTTATGCAATGAAATTGCCAAATCATGATCAATATTATGCTACAGAGTTGTCACAATAGCGCCAACGCTTTGCAATGAAGGTGCCACGAGACTGAATATTATTTTATGACATTGACACTAGTCACAAGACTCATTGTGTTAGGAACTGGTCACAAGACTGCCAATGATATGAAGCTGTCACTAGGCCACATCAAGTGTTCCTCATACACTCTGAGAAGGAGTTGTCTCAACTTGCTATGTTCAGGAATTTAACGTTAGTGGGCAGAGAACCGGAGCCATACTATCAAAAATAGTTGAGATTTCGTAACTATGACAACCAATCACTGACGGCTATTCAAGGTAAACCTAGCAATCACAGACAAGAAATTGGCAGTTACATGCACTTAGGCCGGCACATTTACTATGGTTGCAACGTGCACTAAAACCGCTTGTACAATTGGGCGACTACATGTACTTAGATCACAACGCATACTTCAAAAATTAATACATCAAGAGTTATAATATTATGATCCCACTTCTCCAAGAACTCACTTGTTGCCGCCAGACTTGGCTTTAGAAGCAGCAGGAGGCTGGGGGACGGGCGGCACAAAAGCCTGCGCCCCTTGCCGAGCGCCTGCAGCGCCTACAGCACCGCCGCTGCCGCCGGGTTGGCTGAAGGCCTGCGCTGTGCGGTTGTAGGAGCTCGGTACCCAGCCAGCAGCCATGTTCTTCCGCTTCTGTTGGATCTGCACACATGGGTACAATTGTTATTGAGGATTTCACAACTTATAATAGATGATTTCACGGCTTATGATAAATGATTTCACTGCTTATGATAAATGATTTCATGGCTTATGATAAATGATTTCACTTCTTATGATGAATGATTTCACTGCTTATGACAAATGATTTCACGGCTCATGATAAATGATTTCACTGCTCATGATAAATGATTTCACTGCTCATGATAAATGATTTTACGGCTCATGATAAATGATTTCACGACTCATGATAAATGATTTCACTGATTATGTATGATAAATGATTTCACTGCTTATGATAAATGATTTCACGGCTTATGATAAATGATTTCACTGCTTATGATAAATGATTTCACTGCTTATGATAAATGATTTCACCTGTCTCTTATACACNCTGCTCATGATAAATGATTTCACGGCTCATGATAAATGATTTCACTGATTATGATAAATGATTTCACTGCTTATGAAGAATGATTTCACTGCTTATAATTGAAGATTCCACAGTTTTCAATTGAGGATTTTAGTTTATAATAAGTTATTTAACGCCTTTTCATTGAGGCAATACCACGGCAATTCTTTAATTTATTTACAAACTGCTTTTGAGGCGTTGGATTCAATCACACTGGGGCGAGCGGCAATCATCAGGAAGCAAAACCTGATATTTGAATATTTGAAGTATTATCTAAAGATTCTAATGCTGCTCAACAAGCCCATCTGAACCTTACTCAATAACCTTTTCAATCATTGTACTCCAAAAAATAAGAAAAACATAAAAAAACCTACAGATACTCCAAGCATTGCTGATATCAGAATAGTAAGTTCCAAAAGTTATTTGTCAAGAGAAGTGACACAAAATGCATCGTAATATACAGACCTTGTGCTTGAGATCGTCCCCGTTCCATATGATATCATCTTCCCAGTTGTACTGCGTGATCATATGGAAGGCATCATCAGGAATATCATCATCATCATTGTCCTCGTCAGCATCGTAGTACTTGTTATCAAAATCAGCATGTGAAGATGCTGTCAGCTTCACGTCATGTTCCTCGGTCTTGTGGTCAGCGGTCGGCAGCAGAAGACGTTTTGCTGACTCGTTGCCTCCATCGCTGGGATCTTTTTTGACTGGTGCGTTCTGGCGATGGAACAGAAACCACTTCAGGATTTATTATGAATTTATGATTAGTTATTATTTCAAAATGCAGCTCAGTAGCAAGAAATTTGAACTTAATTTACGTAAGATTAGTTATTCTTTCAACATGTAGCTCAGCAGCCAGAAATTTGAACTCAATTCAACAAAAAGTGTCTTACATTTAGGAAGAATTTAACACATATATATATAAATACTGCATTGCATTTTCCATACTTAATTAACCCTACACAGGAAAGAGAAATAAATAGGATTTATGGAAGAACAAAAATGGGTGTAAAAATTGATGGAAAGGTAAGGTCTAGAAACAAATAAATTAGTGGCACGTTTAAAAGTATTCAAGCTTCTTACAAGACTCTTAAAGCAAGGTCTATTGATTGTCAGTGATGCTTTTGGTGCTTCTTTCGAGGCCCAGCATTAAAATATGTAAAAATTATGATCACTACATCTCATTAATTGATACCTATTGTTGCGTTTGAGGGCAAAAAATACGCGAATATTTTTCACATGAAAAATACACGTGAATTGAGGCTTAAAAGTACAAATAAATTATCAATTAGGGATTGATTATTCTACTTACGGTACTTAAAGAGATATTTTGTTTCTATAGCAGGCTGGCGACCGGTAAATAGTTTCAACTCATTAAAAATTAATGGCCAGTCCTAAAAAACCAACACAAGCTGCATTGTTCACACTTTACCTTGACTTTAAAGCCATAGTCAAAGTTCTCGACGACAGCAGGCACGTCGATCATGTCGTACCAGAGCTGGGCGGGACCATAGCGCCAATCACTGGCCTTGGGCTTGTTACTCTGGCGTCTGTTGGCCGCGTCGTCCTCGGACGCTTCACCGCCACCCTGGCTGTCCTTAGCACCACGCCGCGAGCTCGAGTTCTTGGGGCGGGTGTTTAGTGGGGAGGCGTAACGCTCCTGCACACACAGGTTTCCATTTAGTGACCAAAAATCTTTTAATTTAATGATTAAACATGATTTCATTTAGTGATAAAATATATTTTCATTTAGTTATATAGTATCAAAAATAATAAGTATAGGTACTTGTGATATAGATATAAACTAGATCTGTCATTTTTTTTGTTTAAGATAGAAATCAAAAGGCAACAGGCAAAATATTACATGTTAGGTCTTTGTAAGGCTAGCATTAACTAAGACTGACTTATAATTCCACATTGATTTTTTGCAACCCGAACTAAAGTTTGATATGATGTTGAGCATAATGAACGCACCTCAGACTCAGTGCGTTCAATATAAGGAGCTGGGGGGAACTTGAGAACAAAATCCTCCTCCTGGTCACCATAGCCCAGGTCTTCTCGCCCATCTCCTGACGGCGTCAAGCCTTCAAAGGGCGTCTCCACGGCGTTCCTGAGCAGCACAAATGAGCAGCTGAGAGCACTTGCAAGTCATCAGGAGAAACCACGTGAAAAGTTATGAATCATTCAAGTCATTCCAATGACCTTCTAGACTTATTATACTTCAATAACCTTCTAGCATTATTATACTTCAATAATCTGCTAGCTTTATTATAGTTCAATAATCTACTAGCTTAATTATACTGTAATAACCTCCTAGCATTAGGTATTATACCTACATCAATAACCTCCCAGCATTATTTTACCGACCGTCAAGTCATCTCCACTTGTTTTCAGCTTGAGCAAATAATCCATAACAATTTAAAATGAAGGCCATCTTAGTCAATTGAATAGAAACTGTCATACATGCTACATGAATGAATTTGTTATGATGAACACACCTTCTCTTTTTCTTTCTTTTGATGTGCTTCCAAATAGACCGGGAAGCTGGAATGGTGTTTTTATTCGGTCCAAATAGTCTAGAAAATCGTAGCACCTGCACAGAAAAATCACAGAGAATCATAGCATATTCAATGAAAAATCATTTTAAATTTAATGACAGTACGGTAGTACCGTAGTAAATTTGAATCTTTTACCATGATTAAATTTATTACCATGAATATATATGAATAGGAAATTATTAATTATATTAAAATAATAAGGAGAATTGGAACTTAAATTACTCATTTAAAATACCTACAGTCTTGCAATAAATACCTTGTCAGCCTTGAAACCAGGGAAGAGTTCTGCAACATCAACATGAGCGTACTTGGAGGGACGCATGGCAGCGAGAGGTGTTACAAGCTTGCCTTCACTATTGACTTCCTTATCATCAGAAACCTCTTCACCATTACCACCATGAGTAGGGGGAGGAGGTGGAGGCATGAGCTCCACATCAGTCTTGATGGTGTTCATACCATCATTATCTTCATCCTCCATTTCATGCATGCCATTCATATGCACTACTCCTGCATTGGCATCTAAAGGTTCCATTTCAGAGACGACAGGAGTCTCGGCATCGACAGAGCCACTGCCAGCGTTGTCATCATGAGCAGCTCCCAAGTCATACATGGACTGATCACCATCTTCACCATCATCATAGTCCTCTTCTGATGCAGGAGGTTGGGATGTTAGGAGAGTCAAGTTACTCGTGCTCACTCCTGCAATAATAATTTTATTGTAACTAATAATGTTATTGAAAAATGTAACTAATAATGTTATTAAAAAACTAACTAATAATGTTTTCAAAATAATTACCGTAACATTCATAAATAAGAAAAATATTGGTAATTAGGACAAAAATCATAACAAATGTTAATGAAACATACATAAATATTGAGGAATAAACATGATGTTTAACATCATAATAAGATTAAAAAATGAAATGGAAGACAGTAAAATGGAAACTTTTCAATTTTAAAACAAAATATTGTCTGAAAATATAAAACAAGTTTAAATCAAATTTCTTCCCATAGGAAAAAAAAGATCAAACAACAAGAACAATGAAAATGTTTTGTAGGAAAATATCAATTGAGCAAAAAAGAGGCAGCACCTACCACTGATTTGAGACGGGACATAGTCCTCTTCCAGTACTTCATTTATGTCAGAATAATCAATGGCATTAGGACTCTTCTCCAGCACATCTGTGGACAAAAATCGGGAATTAGACAATTCATTTAAAAATAAACCTTTCATTTGAGGTGACATAACCAGCATTAACTTAGTTGGAACAATATAAACAGATACAATATTGAACAGAAGCTTACCTTCTAGTCTGTACACATAAAAATCTTCAAGATTTTACACATACAGTAAAGCCACATAAAACTGTTTTATGACAATTCAAATTCAACATTTTCAACAAATGCCAAAACTCAGGAGTAGGTGAAAATCAGTTAATACCATCATCATCCAGCTCCTCTTCTTCATCATCATCACTGTCTTCCTCGTCATTGCTGTCATTTGTGACTTGGCGGAGAAGAGAACCCAAGCCAAGGCGTGACAGAGATGCAAGTTGCTTCTTTACATCATCATCAAACACATCTCCTTCAAGCTGTCCTCGGTCATCAATATTTCCAAACAAAAAACTTGTGAGGGACAGAGTTTGACTGACTGGAGGATCCTCCTGAGAGTCTTGTTGGTCCATGTCTACAGAATTGCCATTGATTTCACCTATTCCATAGATACCATTGAAGTTGTTCATTACTTATATGAAATTAATTTTTGAAACTATTGCAATACTGATAGCCATTAGGTACAATTTAGAAGAAAAATGTATATAAATTTGAAATGCAAAATATATTGAAAAGTTGAAATAAATTCTAACCAAATAGTATTACAGTATACATATATACCTGGAAAGTTTAAACATTAATTTAGGATGAATTTAAGTAGGCATTAAGAAAGTTATTTTCTAAATGGCCAAGACACTGAGCAAGCATCATATTGGAGCATGAATACCATATGAAGTAAGAATTTAAAAGCTAAGAAAATACCCAGCAAGTTCATCATTTCTGTATGCGTATAAGAAAGGTTTTGGAGTCCAGTTCTATTGTCATATTAATCTGCATGTGGTGTTGGTGAATAACTTTAAACTTGGCTTGTTCTTCACGTACTATAAAGATACTTTCCTGCTTTTTATGCATTCGTCCCTACTTGATAGATACAGTTGTGCCCAGTGCATATCAGCATATGTTGGTATGACATCTTGCCATTTTTACACTAGGCTGGTGAAGCATAAGGGCACAAGTTTTAGAAAGGAAACATTACTTGTGCATCCTCCTCATTCAGCTGTGCCTGTCTATGCCAAGCTGTGCAAAGTTCTGCTGTCTAATAGTGATTTTAGAGTTATAGCCTTCATGACTAATGTTTTTGAAATTATGACCTATGAATTTTAGAATTCCTGTATATTTATAACAGAAACCTAGTTTAAATGCAGAATTCAGCTCCTAGCCCCTTGAATTTTTTTCTAATTTATTCTGCTTGTCTTATAGGTTTTGAACTGACAATGGAGCTGGATTCCAAAATGTTTTCTCATATAAGGAAATAGTAAATTTTCTAGTTATTTTCTTTTCTTTTAAATTCTTAGTGAATTTGCAATCCAACTTTCCAACTAAATTCCAAGCAATCAAGTGACCTTACTAAGTTAGTCAAATGGGGTAAGACAGGATTGCAGCCTTCATGGGGTAAGAAAGGACCAGCCCATGGCGTGCATTCTAATTGCACCGAATTCAATTTGGCAAAAGAATATGTTAGAGCAATCATTGCCTGCCATTTCAGTGTTTGTGGCAACCCTCTTCTGCAAATAATGAATTTCTGGCTAATTTTTAATGAAAACCTATGTAAAGAAAGAAGTGCACCACAAATGCAGTTAGCAAGAAAACACATGATGTCTGATACTTAAGTTATTATCCATTGGTTTTATTACCAATTTGATAAATTTTTCAGACAATGACACTAATGGAATACGGTATACATGAAGCATTTAACAGTGCTCTACAATGAACCAAAGCCAACCCACTATTACTATGCTTAACCAAGTTTTCTCGTGACAAAAACTTCAATGTGACTGATATTAGAGTTGACTTCCCACAACACAAAACAATAATAAGTGGTTGATCAATCAAATAATGTGTTTCTAGATGGATAATATTGAATATCAGATTTGTACTTTTATTAAAAACCTTGTAACATAAGAATTACCAGTTGGTCCTGTCTTACCCCATGCCTGGTCCCATCTTACCCCAGTGGGGTAAGATGGGACAGCTCACTTTTTTTAACCTGTACAGAAAACTGTGTTAGATGCAAAACGTCTGGGTTGTAGCTTAGAAGCCCATTGCATAACTACACCTTGTGATAGGTTTAGGGTTTTTTAGTTATTCATGGTATAGATGCTACAGGCTTGTTAGTGATTTCGGTCCAGTCTTACCCCATCTGACTATATATATACAATTTGAAGTCGGTATAAAATAATAAACTGATGGCTTTAATGACTAATGAAACTGATATCAGTTTCTTAAACTGGTGCAACCATGCAAACTGCAATGTGTCCACATTGCAAATTTGCAATGAAAATATTATATTTAGAAGCAAAAGGAGTGGCAAGATTCCTCACAGTTGAACTGATAGAGCCCAGAGACTAGTGTAATTTTAAAGGGGTATTAAATTAACCAGTACACATATGTCACAGCATATTGGAAAGTCCATCACATAGTTAGCTAATCACAGTCTACTGAGTCTAGAGTGGATGACAGCACGGTGCAATTATATATCAATTTTAAATTACCTTGGTAATTTGAGTTTTGTGAACGCCGAACTTAAATTAGAGAAGCCGCTTGCAGCCTCCGGCAGACAACCTCCCATGCTGACAGTCTAGATAACACTGCCTGCGGCAGTGCAGCTGCCAGCTGTGCAATGAAGATTGCGCTCACAGCAGTCGTCATGTAAGCGGTATATCAATGCAAAATAGTCTTAGAGCGCCAACACAGTCTTAACTTACTCACGAAACGCAAAATGACTCTAATCTTCAAGATCATTTATAAATTAATAAAAGTAACATTCTTCCTTAAACAGACACTGGTATGCACAGAAAAACTTTTGCTAATAATAATAATGACCTCAGTTACACGCATTTCTTCGTTAAATTGACCGCTTTTTGCTTTTAATTTGTAAATGTTTTGTTGACAGGTACAATGACGAGCTGTATTGCACTTCACGATTATTTATACAAGTTTTAAACTGAAATACTCAGTAAAATTTAAAAATACTTGAAGAAAAGCCGATGTCTGTTATTAAAATTCATAAGAAATTATTTAAACATTACCTATGGCACGTTTCAAATTATAAAAATAGAAAAAGCCACTCTAATGACACTTCAATGGTAGAAGATTATTGACACCACTTAAAGACACTAGATTGTAATAGAATGCACTGGATTGCATTAGAAGGCCCTAAATTGCCTTAAAACGCATTAGTATGCACTAAAATGCTCAAAACCAGATGAGGACGTACATCGGGACAAGCCAGATCACCCAGATGCGGACGTACGCCAAGACAAGCCAGATGCGGACGAGCGGTACGTCGGGACAAGCCAGATCACCCAGATGCAAACATACGTCGAGACAAGCCAGATGCGGACGTACGCCGGGTGTGTGCGCCAATAACGTTATTTTAGCTCGTTGTACGCCAGCAGAAGGGCTTGGCGCCTCGTTTACGCCGGATTAATCCGCGGAAAATGGCACCATCCTGGGTATGGCATCACTGTCATCATGTTATGGAGCTAGATTCCAAAATGTTTTCTCATATAAGAAAATAGTAAATTTTCTAGTTATTTTCTTTGCTTTTAAATTCTTAGTGAATTTGCAATCCAACTTTCCAAATAAATTCCAAGCAATCAAGTGACCTTACTAAGTACAAGTAACAAATGTACAATTTGAAGTTGGTATAAAATAATAAACTGATGGCTTTAATGACTAATGAAACTGATATCAGTTTCTTAAACTGGTGCAACCATGCAAACTGCAATGTGTCCACATTGCAAATTTGCAATGAAAATATTATATTTAGAAGCAAAAGGAGTGGCAAGATTCCTCACAGTTGAACTGATAGAGCCCAGAGACTAGTGTAATTTTAAAGGGGTATTAAATTAACCAGTACACATATGTCACAGCATATTGGAAAGTCCATCACATAGTTAGCTAATCTTAATCACAGTCTAACTGTCTACTGAGTCTACTGTCTAGTGTGGAATGTGGATGACAGCACAATCCCACAGCCACAGGCCACGCCGCCACAACTGTGATGCAATAATGCAAGACAGACTTGCAATGTTGAAAGTGCTGACTGCTGAGCAGTATAGTGTTTTTATTAATTTACCAAAAAATTTCTTTTGCAAATACCAACAAACAAGGGTCATAGATATTAGCTAGATAAAGCAAAGAAAACGACCAAAACTGCACAGCACCACTCTGAACTCTGAGTCTCTGAACTGATCAGTTAGTAAGTTGAATACCTACTAAGTACTAACGAACTAACCTACCTACCAAAAAAAAATATTATAAACGGTAATAGACATATTAAAGAAAATAAATATTCAACTGATCAAGTTTTAGTAATTTTTGGGCTCTGTTAGTGTTTGAAGAAACATTGAGTATTGAATGGCGTCATTAACGAGTAACGAATACGAAAGAGACTAGTTGGTCTCAACACTACTTGTTGTCAGGCAACACTAAGCATTTGAAATTGAAGGAGCAGTTACACCATCTAAGCTCAACGCATCCAGCATCACGCACTAACCAGAAAACGTCGAGTTACTGTTTATATTCTCAGCGTAGTTGAGAAGTACCCTAAATACTAACAAAAAATTGCTTTAAAAAGACTCAAATATAATTAATGTTATGTTATCACTATGTTATGTCTGGAAAGAGTTAAGGTTTTCAAAACGTCGCACATCACAATCTTTGCTCAAATTTTTTAGTTAATCTACGTTGAAATCGTGTATTTTGCAAAAACGATTAAAGACTAAAATTGTTTACGCTTGTTGTATATGGTTTTATGTAGAATAATATGCTAGAAATTTTGGGAGTGGTCGTGCATTTCGACTAAAGAACTCCTCAGCCATCCGACGCAGGGATCAACGTTAAAGGTGCCTGTACACAGGGATAGTACTAGCCGCTAGTTCATCCGCCGCTTGAACTGTCCACGCTACTCATGGTTGAAATAATGCATATATTGATTCAACCATGCACGCTACTAGCCTCGTGTATAGGGGTTCAGCCGCTTCATAGGCATGCGCCGGCAAGTGCACGAGACGCGGCCGAAAAACAATGGCTCAACCTCTCAACCTTCGCGTGTTGCCCGTTGTCCCGTTGATGCAGCATCATCGAAAATAATAACCGACGTTACTCTGACACATTTAAAGCTCCAGGCCTATCGAATCGACGCTTCTACGAACTCGCTTGCGAATTGATACTCAACGACCACGAACTTCATATACCTAGATAAAAACTTTTAAAATTAATTACTTCCTAGAAAATTTTTGATTGTGAGATTCGCTTTTCATTCATGCATGCAGACAGCATTTAATGCACTGAAAAGAATACAATCTATGTTATCAAATATTTTAAGCGCAATTTTAATTTGTTGCTAGCTTCTAATACAGATTTATACGATTTATTTAGTGAATTTAATTAATATCAGTGTTATGATAGTAGGAAGATAATTCATCAGGACAATTGATGAGTAGCAGGGTAATTGGTCAATAAATATGTAATGTTAATTATGTTTTATAGCATATCTAATAATATCCTAATACTCTGATAAACCAGTGCGAGGGCTGGAAAACGAACCTGGGAATCAAATATTTTGCAAACTTGTTCGATGATTAGTTTAAGGATTTTGGTAATTGTATAAAAAAACTCTTCCAGGATTGGTTTGGTGGTAAAACTTAGTTGTGATTTTCCATGAGCCCATGCGTTAGTTTACTTCCAGCATTCATTTTCCATCAGTGCTCAAAATATACAAAGCGGAACCCTGAACTGAATCATCGATACATTGAATACAAAAATTTAAACAAGAAATTATCATAGCACCGGTTCTTACCATCGCATTTCCATAGCTTTCTCATCTCTGTTAAACATATCGTTTGCATGTAAGCCAAGCAATCAAGTAGAAGTAGCATTATCATGATTGTGCAAACGGTGCACACCATGGTTGCATTTATGTATTAATTCAACCATGGTGCACACTGTGTGAACAATATTCTGCATTAACTTCACACAGCAAATAGTGAGACAGTAAAAGTAGTGAACCATGACGTTCTGATCTAGAACTTAAAGCTATGATATATGATCACAGATCTCAGCCTCTTTCCTCGATCACTTACACTCACAGATCCATAAATCAACTACTCACCGAGATCGAGAGTAGTTGCGTAATCGTCTCGGTCGAGCGGCGTTTTACGCAGACGTTACGGCGAGCTCTACGCAATACGCACTCTGGTAATGGATAGCAGATGACGCTGAGCGTATGGTTAAAAATGTGGGAGAGTGACCTCAGCGTCCTTCACAACCACTGAGTCTATTTATCTTTAAAGTCGTCGAGGTTTTCTTGGTTAATTAAACGTTAGCAGGGACAAATCTTCTAATGTGTTCGCTCAAGCGATTATACAAGTTATTGCTCCAGCCATTACTACATTGTAACATAACAGGTTATTTCTCCAGTCACCATTACATTGTAACATTTCACTTTTATGAAATAAATTAGAAATTTCTAAATGTACGTTCAGTTTATGAATCATACTGAGGTTATTAAATAACGTTGCAATTACATATTGCGATTTAGTGTAATATTTCGATTAGTTAACTCCCAAAGCGCTGATACTGATATTTTATCGGAATTAAATAAGATGAACTAATTTCAGCGCTATTATAGAGATTTCGTGATGGAATTCTAGAATGCTGTTGTTAGATTAGAATAATTAAGATGATTATGACACCATAGTTGGATTATCGTAATATTATTCCGATTTTATTAAAATAATTATAAGATTACTGTGCGACGGCTGTAAAATAACCGTGAGATTATCGTAATAGTAATATAATAGCGCCATTAGTGTTTGTTACAAAGGGTAGGCCAGTCGTCTATTCTGAACATCACACAACATTCACAGTTTTTTGCGGGTCTCGAACACGCAACTCACAGTTCGAATTTTGCTTTACTTAACCACCGGGCCTCCTTGCCGATTCTGACCAGAAACTGGCGCACAGAGCTGGGATCGAACCCACTCCCCGCAGCTACCTTCCTTGTTGAACTATAACCGCTGGCCCACCCTGCCCTGAAAAAATCTTTTATTTAATAAAGATGCATGAGTGTTGTATCTACCGCCAAGTGCCCCTATATTCTGAAGCAGAACTTCATCGTCGTCGCCCCTATGAAGTAGAAAAACGTTGTTTTTGTTTTTCGTACGCAGGCTCTTAACTCGACCATCGCCGTAACCCACCCAGCCTACCATTCCGCAGTGAAGGTTCTTAACTCCACCATCGCCGTAACCCAGCCTACCATTCAGCAGTGAAGCCTCTTAACTCGACCATCGCCGTAACCCGACCTACCATCCAGCATTGAAGGATCTTAACTCAACCATCGCAGTAAGGTATCTTGAAGTCGTCGATTACAATCCGATAAGCCAATGTCTCAGACGCTGTTGAAAAAACTGGTTTGTGCGCGAGTAGTGTCCAAGCAGGTGCAATGCAACTTAATTACCTTAACTCCCTATTAAACTAATTAATTCATTGGGACTCTCCAGCTGCCTTTTCATTGAAGAAATTTTGATATAGAATTGCCAATGCAATTGAAAAAAAATACTTTTAAATTTTTTGCTACATGGGATGTAGTAATGTAGGTTCATATTGATTGAATTTCTCATTAATAGCTACATTTTCAGTAGCGGTAGCGGCGCTACAGCGTAAGTAGCGGTAGCGGCGCTACATTTAAGCAATTGTAGCGGTAGCGGTAGCGCCCGCTACATATTTAAGTAGCGATACGAGGTTTTGCCGCTAAAGCGCCACCGCTACATTTATATATAAAACCTGATTTGATATCTCATTAAAAAATTTTTATTTATCTTTAACAACAAAAACAAAATCGAATACGTAATTTTGAAACCTCTTGCCACAGGAAAACCTAGGGTGAGCGTGAACTAAACACCATTGCTTGAACATTTCTTAAATTCAATTGAAGCCATGAGAAGGTAAATAGCCTTCCTTTTTTACTGAGAAAATATTGAGTGAAATAGTCTGTCAAGTTACATTGCCACGCCCTGAGGAGATGGTTGCAGTAGCATGAGAGTTTGTCTTCATTGAATCTTCTAAGGAAAGTGAAGGCCTGGAGCTCTTAAATGCTACGTAATATGTCGTGTAGAGCGGTCGAGGTCAGCGCCTATATAAAGGCGAGCAGCTTGTTGCTGGTCACACTTGATCATCAGCTTCCACTTGGTCAACATCGTTCTAAGCGACATGAGGGCTTCGGTGAGTTTGATAAAAAAGAGATTTTCTGAAGTGAAAGTTCTGGAACTTCTTGAAATAAATTTGCAGAATATTAAGTAGCTGGCAATAAAATATACCGCATTCAGTTCACAACACGTATTTAGTGGTCATTTAAGTTGTTGGATTTACGGAGAACTTTTTCACTGTACTTCACAATCTGGTTGTTATTTCTTTTTCTATAACCATGAAAACCTAATACGCTGAATAAGTTGGTATCTTCAGTCTCGTTACACGATGGTCGGAATATTATTACAATGACTTGACAATTATCCAAAACTAGTAGGTAGGTGAACCCGGCGTTGTCCGAGATAGATAAATACTGAATTTTTTAATCCTGTTATCATAAATCTTATCATTATCATAATTCTTATTCTAGTAATAACAATAAAGCTTGAATAGTCTAATTAAATATAGAGACATTCAAACCCGCATTTTACAAGAAAGATGAGACGCCCATTTCACTCTAGCTTAAAAAAATTACTTGCGCCTTTCAAATATGATTCAAATATATCAATTGCCAAATTTTATTTCAATGTTTAATGCAATTCGTTATTTTCGTTCCTCCAATCCTCTAAATTGTCCCACTAAGAATGAAATTTTATATTCTGCCAATATCCCAACGCGATAATAGATCCCATATATAAGTGGTGCCCCAACAGACCCTATATATATACATATATATGTGGTGCCAGGCTATCAACACACACATTCACAAACTCACAAACTTTAAAATATAAATTAACCCAATTCTTCATAATCAATAATGGCTTCGTTTCAGATCATTATCCTGTTGCTGGCGGTCAGCGCTGTGCTCGCGGCAGAGAACTTCTCACAAGACGTCCTTCCTTCCCACGACCTCACTGACCTCTTGGACGACGGAGGCGCACGACAGCGGCGGGCGGACGCTGGCGAGCTTTCGGGCGTGGAAGAGGAAGGCGGTCGCTACATCCGTAGCCTAGATACCGTCGCGTACAAGGGCAGGAGTGCGCTGAAATCTAAGGGAAGGGTATTGAGAACTAAGGGCAAGGGCTTGAGGAACCTTAAAGGAGGTTACGGAGGAGGGGGTAAGGGCAAGGGAGGAGGTTACTCTAGGCGCCGCCGTTCATCGGAATTGGTGGAAGATCAAGACGCTGCGTCACCGCACGACATCGTGAAGCGGTTCGCTAACCCTGACCATGGCTACCACAAGAGTTCCTACAAGCCAGCCCCACACCACAAGGCCACCGCCACAGGATCTCAAGTCTTCAATCTCGGTCTCAGCAAAGGAAAACCCAAACATTACGGTCACTAAACTGATATAACTGAAATAGCTATTATATATAGCCCACGGCGAGGAAGGTAAATAACTCTTAGTATTTTTTTCTATATATTTTTATTTATATTGTTCTTCTATAAGGTTCTTCGAATAAACAGATGAGAGCAGTGAGTTGCAGGTTCAATCCCAGCGTTTCGGATCAGTTCTAATCAGGTCAGCAATGTGGCTAGGGGGGTTAAGAATACTAAGTTTGAAGCAGTGAGTTGTGGGTCTAAGCCCTTACAAGCTATGAGAATTCTGCGATATCTAGAATTGTCAATACCAATATTACAATAACGCTGCTTTTATCAAAACTTTGGAAGTTCTTGCACACAGGGTCTGTATTTTCCCATCAAAATTTATATTCTTTTCAAAAATATTGTTCCTATGCACGTTTGTTACACTAAATGAAGTAAACTGTGTTCTTATTTTACATTTTTTTATCCTCAAACAACTGATCGAACGAATCATAGTTTGAACACTGAAATTATTCAGGGTTTTTGTTATAGAAATCATCCACAATAAGTGATTCCTTCGTTTCACTAGAATCGACTAGTCACTAGGTCCACCTAGACACTGCAGTGGTTCGCGGCACAGGTTTCATACGTAACAAGTGAATGGCCTAGATGCCTTCATATATATATATGGCCAAAATGCTTTGATAGATAGGTATATGGTCAAGATGCCTTCATAGATATATGGTCAATATACATTGATAGACATGTGATCAAGATGACCTAATAAATATATGGTAAAAATTCCTTGATAGATATATGGTCACAATGCATTGGTAGATATATGGTCACAATGCATTGATAGATATATGGTCAAGATGCCTTCATAGATGTATGGTCAAGATGCCGTGATAGTTTGTTGAGAATAATTCTTTAGACGCGCTGAAAGTCTTCATTAAGTTCAGTTCACTTACGCCTCGATTCTCGGTTTGTAATGAAAACAAATGTTTCCATCTATTCAAAATTTAAATGAATATAATTTTATTTCAGCCCAACGCACATAGCATAACAAGAATTGCGTTGAAGTATGAGAATATGACGATGAAAATAGTGTATAATTTACCATCTCTACGGCTGCTCATCAAGAGTACGCGAAAGGCAGTAAATTTGAAGACTTCAGTGGAACATTTATGAGACTAAATCGACTATACGGGTTGCTCTTCAACGGAACATCGGAAGATACCTCACTATAAGCAACAAGTAATACTAGGTTAGCAATGACTGCATGGGGTAAGTGTAATGCTCCTGTCAGTCTGAAACACAGATAACAACAAAAACAAGTGTCCTTATTGCCGTAGCCTCAACGAAAATAACAAATTAACTCCCAGCAAAATAAGCCACCTAATAGTCACCAGTAGAAACACACATTGTAACAACAAAATTGTTGAATAAGTAACAACAGTGATATTTTTGAGGCATTTCCAAGTCTCACATCAATAACTAGTTAAAATACCGATACATGGATGCATAAGAAAACATTAAACACTACACAGCACGGCCAACACAATAACAAGTGTGATTACTGATGAAAACATTTTTCAGTTTCACATCAATAGCAAATAAGATACACCGATAATTTGGTGCAGAATAAAGCTACAAACACCACGAAGTACAACAACAACAATGAATAGGTTATACGACAAACGGACTTTACAGGGCATGTACTCGCAGCTGATGCAGCGCCAGCTTGAGGCAGGTTGCCCAGCTGGCAAACGTCAGTGTCTCAGACGGCTGTGCATAGGGTGTGTGGTCGCAGTTCTGAATAGAAATTGTGTTTTAAGGTGGCGAGCGAGGGATCCGTGCGAGATATTCTATTGAGTTAATGGGCTTCGATGATCGAGTGTAGGAGCAGCAACAAGAGTACGAAGCACAGGCCAACACCAGCGATGGGACGATCATGGAAGCTATTGGGGGAGAATGTATGTGATTTTCCCGTTGGAGGATTTGCTAGAGCCATATAGCGTACCTAACCAGTCACCGAGCAACCGAACGGAGACCCCAGAAAAACAAAATAACGAATCAGGTAATTCGCGACCTCCCTCTTCGACCCAACCTAGCCTCAAAGCACAACCTGACCAAGGAATTGCCATCCTAACTCCTCCCGAGGAGCCCCAGTCTTGCGCATCCGTCACTTCTGACCTCAAAAGATCAGGATCCTTTCGCTCCTTTACAGGACCGATCTCTGCCGACACCCAAGCCGCCCTCCTCGCCCAAGTCTGCAAAGACCAACCGATTCCTCCTGCTGCTGCTCCTACACAAACCCTCGCTCTACCTTCCAAACGAACCTCAATTTTCAGCATCAAAAAGAGCGTTGACACGGCTGATGACAATCAAGTGACTCGAAAAAAAGCTTCCCTTCAAATTAAATCTTCGTTCGAACTACCTCCGAAACCTCAGGGATCACCAATAATAGAAAATGATTTGAAAAAAAGAACAGACGCTTCAATTCGCAAAACCCCAACGAAGTCTCAGTCCTTCTCGTCTATAGCATCTTCTTATCAAGCCTTGCACATCAAGCGAAGTGTAACGCCAACAGGCAGCGCATTACGGCTCCATCCCAATAGTCTATTGTGCACGACACCTCATGACGACAGCAGAAACTTACACGACAAAAACACCAACAAATGCGAACTTTCATCCTTACAGTCATTTGACAACAGTTCTGTGAAGCAGCCTATTGAAGTTACTAGAGGTGATTCGGGGGTTACCAAAAAGCCTCAAATTTCACGTGATCTGCAGTCTAATTTATTAGATCCCAGAGCTGAATCTCCGTCATCTGTCGTTCTTCAGCGTCGAAAAAAAGCTTTAGTGAATGTGTCGGTGCTGCCCAAAGATTTAGGGACGCAGCAAAAAAGTGCATTCGGTGGTGCCAAGGACGGCAGTATCTGTGCCAAAGAATTCTCATATAATGCGAGTTCTAGTGTTGGTACAATAGCAGAACAAGAATTCGGTTCACAATACAAAACTCGTGCTAGAAGTCAAAATATAAGTGAAGGATTATCAAGGACACGTTATTCGCGTGACGGTAGCATAAGTTACACGTCTGTCGCCATACGAAGTGACTGTAGCGTTGACAGCAGCACTGACGTGACGCTCGCTGGCAGTAGCAGTTTACGCAGCAGCAACAACAGCAGTTTCCGCAGTAGAACCAGTGACGTAGTCAGGAATAGAGTTCCTAGAGATTCCTACGCTAGAACTCGGGGTCCCATCATCATTAAACTGGATGTTCCTCACGAGGGATCACCCATTCATGTGGACCCGGTGAACATCGCTCATGAACGCAACACAATTTCCGGGTCTTCGACACATGTCAGCGGCGCAGCGGTGGCGACGTCAACGAACTCAAAACGACCGGCTGCTCCTGTGAGGACTTTGTCCACGGGAGCAGCGCCCCTCAACCTCGACAAAAATGCTGTTACAAAATCCCCACCCAGCGGGGCCGTGTCTGAGTTCCTTAGAACCGCGGCTGCTGGCAATTTCGCTGCAATAGCAGCCCCATCCATCCCAGCTTCCCCACCTCTCTCGGCGCGTCCTCCAGTGGCGGGGACGCAGAGAAAGTCCCAAACAGAGCTACCTTCAAAATGGACTCAACCTTCCAGTCATATCCGGTCCCCGTCGATTTCCTCCAAAGAAAAACGAGCGTGGGGAAGTTCCCCCCAAATGTTGGTGTCAGACTCGGTCGAGGCAGGACTGCGACGCCTCACCCACCCAGCTCTCAGTGAGCCTCTCAAGGCTCACTGCAACGTCACCTTCAAGCTCGTCAAGACGGGTGAGTCCCGAAAAATTTCTGAATGTTTCAGATGAATTTATTAATAAATTAATTCATGAATCGCGTTTCGTGAACGGAAAGTTTAATGATGAAAAAAAATTCTGACTCTTTTGTTCTTTCATGACCCGAGTTGAGGTCAATAGATGAATTTCTGTCAGTGATATTAATTGCTAAAACGTACGACGTGTATGGCGTTTAGCGTGTCTGGCGACTACAATCACAATTTGCAAGGCTTTTCATCTAAATGGAATTGAGATCATGAATCACTAAAAAAGGGCGTTAGGTCAGCGTTTCTCGGTTGTAATGGTTGACCTTTTAGGTTCGAATTTTGTTAGAACATAACACATTCACTAAGCTGATTTTTCAGTTATCGAATGGTTTCACTGAGAAATGTTTACGTTCAACCTGTTACCGCTCAGCTGTAAAGAGTACCGTAATAGTTTTCAAACTTTTATTAATTCCAAATGGGATCTAGGAAATTTAAAATATGTTTGTGCTACGATTCTTTGTAAGCTTTTCATCTTCATACAAAACTAAATGAGGTTCGGGAATAATTTTATCATGAAATAAACCTGAATATACCTATAAATTTAAAATACTTGAAAATCATTAGTTAAGAAGCTCATTTAACATATTATTCTTTTTGAATGACGTGCAAAATGACAGCTTGCGTTGGGATCGAGAAGGCGGAATAGAGACGCGTCATTACAGCGGCTTGGGAGGCGCTCCCACCGATCAAGAGTTTACGGCGCGATGAAGAATAACTTAGCGTCCATAAAACTTGCTCTTCGGTAGCTTCTTGGGCTGTCGTAAGCTTCGACTTGATAACTTCGTCCTGGCTTACGTCTTCAGCTTCACGTTGAATGAAGGAGCTTCACTTGAGCAAGTGAATACATTTGATGCCGGTTATTTTGATACCTTCAACGCGTTGGCGTGGCCTGGGACTGCTACGTCCGGGACCCGTACGAAGATTATCAACGATCAAGGAGTTTTGAAGATCAGGCCCAAGAGTTTCTCACACCGGTACTTTTTTCTTCCCTTCAGTGAATCGGATTCATAAAAATACCTCAAAATGACTAGACTAGCGGATTCACCTCAACAAACATTGAAAATATTTAGCGTTTAACAATGACCATTTAGAATGAGGCCACTAAGGACTCAGCATTATTCCATAACTACCCTCTAAATATTATAAATATTTCGTTTATAACAGATTAATATGTATGTAATCTCCAACGAATTTGCACCAAAGTTTGGTTATTAGTATAGTGAAGAAAGTTCATTTCTGACCACTCCTTACCCTCACCCCTCCTTACCCTCACCCACTCCTTACCCTCATCCACTCCTTACCCTCACCCACTCCTTACCCTCACCCACTCCTTACCCTCACCCAGTCCAAGTTCTGCTCCTGACAGCCTGAGGAGGGAAGGGAGTGAGTGGGTAGAGGAGTGGGGGGAATGGGGGAAGGGGGGCTTTTGATCAGCCGAGTGGTTGTGTTCAATCAAGACAGACAATGTAGAGCTGCTGTGCCGCAGCTGCTTCGCTGGCTGTTACAGCTGTAATTATTAGTCACAGCTGCTCTACAACAGCCGTATGGCGCTGTAACTGTCTCTTATACACATCTAGATGTGTATAAGAGACAGACTCCGAACATCACCGGCAAGCCTTACAAGGGAGAAGACGCCATGTAGATTATCTTGCTACTCAAGTAACAGCTGCCCAGAATTAAGGGTCGGTGATAAGGCTTAGGATTCATTCCGTATTACGCTATGCGCTCTGTATAATTGTAATTTAACCTCAACGTACGACTTTGTATAAGTTTAGCGGTAAGTTTGCCGTGATGAGTTATTTAACAATGTGAGAACTGATGTAAAAAAAAAGAATCCAAACGACTTTAAACATCCTGATCGTCATCCCCCATACAATATATTAGTTCATCCCGATTTTTTTCTCTGTAGAAAAAAAGCCAGCTTCGCTACAACTACGGCAAGTCCGAAAAACTGCAGCCAATTAATGAAGCTTTGAGTAAAACTTCTGCCAAAAACCACTACACGTATTTTTTTACATTAAATTCTTCTCGCATACAAGTGTTTTCGGCCCGCGGGTTCTTTCCGGGACGCTGCATTTGCAATTGATCGGATCAAAAGCAGATTTCACATCGTCAATTAATTTTGTGTTGGTTTTGTTCAAACTTAAGCACTTAAGTCACCAAAGAGAATTATGATGGAACATCAAATCTAAACTTTGTAATAAACTTTATATGGGTAGCCTGGTGTTGGCAAATTTGAAAAAGTGCAGAAAATTTGCCGCATGCTAGAATTTGTCGCATGTCCGAAATATTTATATATTAGAATAAATCTTTCTTTAGTCATCATCGTAACGAGATAATATGTGCTGTCATATAAAGCATATTGCATTCAGTACTTTAAGTATGATACCAAATTGNGTGTTATATTGTCCAAATACTGGCACGTTTTCTTGCCAACAGCTCGAGCTCAAATCGAACATAGAACATGATATGCCTGGACTAAACTGTGTCAGGATGACCCATACGATGGCAAAAATCGAACAATAGCCACCTCATCTTTCTGCTTGTGGTTCATTTAACAGGAGATTATTCGGCAGATGCTTGATAAAAGTTGGAGAACAAGGCTTTTAGTTTGAATTGATTTTTTCTTTAATAGTTTCAATAACAATAATATAATTATTTATTTTAATACTAATATTAACAGTTTATGTTTGTTGAAATATGAAGATTCGTTTATTTTTTACAACTCAACGTGTTTCATCATGACTAATGATTTTTATATGCCTAATGAAAGACATTGTCACTGCATTGCGCCTCTGTTACACAAAACAAACACACACAAACATACACAAAAAACGGCGTTTACACCTGCACAATTGCAAGCGACGGTCTTTCTTTGCGTAAAATCTTGGCCGTCATGTCGATGGCCACTTAAAAAAATAACTGCAAGCCAAGAACAAGTCTCAGCTGGCTTGGGGCTTAGACCGCTGGTAGTACTTCGTTAATTTAGACCTTCTAGAGAGAGTAGTTATTGCAATCATTGTACATAGGTCTTGTACTGTAAGTTTCGATCGCGGTCTGTTCCTCTAGACCTTCTAGAGAGAGTAACGACCGCGGTCTGTTCGTCTAGACCTTCTAGAGCGAGTAACGATTGCGGTCTGTTCGTCTAGACCTTCTAGAGTGAGTAACGATCGCAGTCTGTTCGTGTTCGTCTAGACCATCTAGAGAGAGTAACGATTAAGGCCTGTTCGTCCAGACCTTCTAGAGAGAGAAACGATTGAGGTCTGTTCGTTCAGACCTTCTAGAGTAAATTTCGATCACGATCTGTTCGTATAGACCGACCTTCTAGAGAGAGAGTAACGATCGCGATCTGTTCGTGTAGACGGTCTAAAGCAGGGGACTTCTTTCCACTCTGTATCTGCCAAAATCACTGGTAGTTTACTTCCCATAGACAACTATACGTCTATACATGCATGACATCTATTGTATCTTTAATATGTTTCTTATCTTGATAATTTTTACTGATTTTGACATTGGCATTAACCTTTTCAAGGGAGCATAATTAATATCACCGCATAATTTTCCTGAAAACATTCTATACTCTAGAGTCTAGATTCTAGAGTATCAGGTCAGTGTTCTAGAGTCTAGAATGCTGACCCGACGAAGACTGAATGAGAATTGTTGTAGTAGCAGAATTATTGCTACTGTTTAGGAACTCGTAATGCTGTAGCGCTGCCAAGTGCGACAAAGAAAATCTAGTTGTGGAAATCACTGAACTAAAGGTGACTGATAATCTTATTTGCTTTTCAGTTGACAGATAATCTCAATTAACTTTTGACTAGTTAGGGTAACTAGTTAGGGTAACTAGTTAGGGTAACTAGTTAGGGTGACTAGTTAGGTGACTAGTTAGGGTGAATAGTTAGAGTGACTAGTTAGGGTGAATAGTTAGGGTGAATAGTTAGGGTGACTAGTTAGGGTGACTAGTTAGGGTGAATAGTTAGGGTGACCAGTTAGGGTGACTAGTTAGGGTGACTAGTTGGGGTGACTAATTAGGGTGACTAGGGTGATTGCGAACTTTACATTACGTCTATCTCTGAAAAAATAAATGGTTCTTATTTTCCAAATAGTGACAAATTTCCTTTCCCAAGGCACAAGAAGAGAGTGGTCGTAAAATTGACCTGCTTTTTTTGTCAGTGTCCATCATATACATATATGCATGTGCATGTTTATATTCTACGTTATATCTTGATGGTGATTATTTGTAGTGACTATGAGTCCTTATCATGAAATAGAGATGAATATTATAACGACTATGTTATTTTATTATTATTGTCACGTCGGAATAACGACAAAATGACTGGTATAGTAAACCAGCAGGGGTAGTTAATACGTATAGCTGTCGGAGAGAGGGAGCGGGGTGAGAGTGAGTGGGGAGAAATGGAGTGGGGTGAAGTGGGAAGTGCATGTTGACCAAATCTTGACGTAGGCTTTCAAAGCTGAAGTCAACATGAGCCGAGACCGAGAAGTTTGGTCCACTCTACTGAGTGGCAGTCCACTCTACTGAGTGGCAGTCCACTCTACTGAGTGGCAGTCCACTCTACTGAGTGGCAGTCCACTCTACTGAGTGGCGGTCCACTCTACTGAGTGGCGGTCCACTCTACTGAGTGTCGGTCCCCTCTACTGAGTGGAGGTAGAACTAAGTTAAGAACTTAGTGAAGTACTAAGTGGAGAACTAAAAGGAGAACTAAGCGGAGAACTAAACGAATAACTAAGCGGAGAACTAAGCGAAGAACTAAGCGGAGAACTAAGCGTAGAACTAAGCGAAGAACTAAGCGAAGAACTAAGCGGAGAACTAAATGAAGAACTAAGTGGAGAAGAAAGTGAAGAACTAAGCGCAGAAATAAGCGGAGAACTAAGCGAAGAACTAAGTGAAAAACGAAGTGGAGAACTAAGTGAAAAACTAAACGGAGAA